TATTGGCTAGTGTAAGACGCACGTAGTCGTCGCTTTCTTGCGAGTCAGCAATTTTATTTTAGTCGAGAACCGTGGGAACAACACTTTCAACACCTGATAATGAATCTGCTACGACGTTATTGTTACCGCTTATGTGTCTTATGTCCGTTGTGAATTTGCTAATGTAAAACAAATGCCTAATTTTACGCGGGGTTTGGCTGGAATCTTTACCTAATTTTAAAAATGCAAAAGTTAGCGGTGTGTGGTCAGTGTACATAGTTATTCACGCCCTTCAAATAATTTATTGCCATGTAGATGGCCAACAATTCACGATCGTAGGCAGAGTATTTTTGTTGTGCATTTGTGAGCTTTTTCGAAAAATATCCTAAGGGTTGCCACGAGCCGTTAACTTACTGTTAATTTTGGTGGATTTTCTACGAATGGCATGGGTTTGGTAATATTTGGAAATTTTGACAACAAACTATTAAAAGGATGATCTACACTCACTGGCAGTACAGACGGTTCAATCATATTTACAATAGAAGCTAAAACATTTATATCAGTTTCCTGATCGATGAGTCTTCGTGCGCAGACTTCCCCCATTAGCTTATGATTTCTCAAAAAATCGTCGCCTAGTATGGGTTATATAACGTCAAAATCTCATCGATACGTAAATTTAGATTTAAAACTAAAGACCTCACCCCATACGTCTTTATTACGGATCCATTGGCTGCGTAAAGTTTGTATTCACTGCACTCGCGATTTGACACGTTTGCACCCGTGTCTATCAGAAAATATAGTCCGGAGTTCCTGTCCCTGATGCGTAGGATGTGATGACACGGAGAAATGGCACAGAGCTCCGCCGTTGTCTGTGCCTCGCCTAGTTTTTCTGGTTCCTAGGCGCCTTCCATGCGCAGGGTTCCGTGCACTTCTGTGCTCTGGCGCGAAATTTATTGTGGTAATAGCAGAGCCAGTCAGTGCTCTCCCGGGTCCGTCGCGGTACTGAAGGGTCACGACCGCGGGCGCGGGATCTTGACTGCGAGTGATCGTTGTTCCATCGGGGCTGGTAGCGCAGTCTTTCTCGTTCCAGTTGCTCGATATTCAGACTCAACTTCGCGATCTCAGCCATGATGTTTTCAGTGTCTTTCAACTCGAGGATGGTTCGGGATGTGTAGGAAACTGCTGTTAGGACATGTCGCTGACTTGCTGTGCGACGCGCGTTGTCTCAAAAACTTTATCGGCGATTGTAAAGAGTTTTTCTAATTCCTTTATTTCAGATACGGCCAAAACTGCTCGAGTCGTTCTGGGTAAGTGGCCTTGCCATAATATACGAAGTGTGTCATCTAGTACTTTATCCTTAGCAAGCTACCTCATGCGGCGTAGAAGTTGCGATGGTTTTTGGTCGCCGAGCTCCATCGCGCTAATTAACTTCTGGACCTGCCTATTCTCTGACTCCTCGTAAATTTGTAGTAGGCCGGTTTTTAGTGCATCAAACCGTTTCACTGCCCGGGGCTCATTTAATATGTCAGTAACTTGCTGAATAGCTTCTTTACTTAATTTTGTAACAACTATATCATACCTGGTTTCGTCCGACAACTTCTGCGCAGAAGTAGGCGCAGTAGTCATTCTGGACGAGTTTCCTTGTTGTCATGGTGTTGTTCGCGGGTCGGGGTCACCACTTTAGGGTTGTGGGACATGTGAATACGACGCGAGTGTCCGAGAGAGAGAGTGTTACAATATTAAATTACCATTAGTTATAAGAGGCTATCCCTATACTTGTGTGTGTAGCTTGTGTGGCTACGCGAACCCCTACAGTTAAATCAATAAATAAAAAACATTGTAATAAAATGTCAGCAGTTCTTTTAAAAATGTCTTTTAAAGTTAAACATTTTACAATATAAGTAAACATTTACTGACAATAAGCTTTTGCATTTGATTGTGAGGTGTGTTTTCCGTTTATAGGAAATATTTTTCTGGATGAAAGACATCTTAAGTCCTTTGCGGTATCCGTTCGTAAAATAAAAATGTAAAATTTAATGATGATACAATAAACAGTACACACTATCGATGACGCATAATACACAATCAAACAAAACGAAACATTAATTTAGATGTATTTGGTTTTTATTTATCCATCTATTATTATAAACAGTTACAGTGCCACCAACTTATCTGTTCAGTAGACAAAATCGGAACTAAATCTGCGTCAATCTGCGTGTCAGTTTACAAGGTGTGGGTGCTCTCTGTGTTTATCATTTGATTTTATTATTAAAACTACAATTAAAATGCCGAAAGCTCTTAAAAGTGATGCTAGAGTTATTATTTTAAAAGTTTTATCTTTTATGAACGAAGAAAAACGCCTCCAATCTCCAAAAATACCATTTGAAAAAGTGCTACAACGTGTTGCTGCCGCTACAGGTCAGTGTTATAGTCTAAGGACAGTAAAATTTCCCACTTAAATTATTTTAATATTCAGCTTATGTTTCATATTTTATTGTCTATATATATCCACTGAAAATTAGAAATAAAACTGATATGTCGCCCCCACTACTACTAACTAGTGCACCATTTTACTATTCCTTATTTTCATAAACGTTAAACGTATACCTACATTGTGTTCACTGTTTATTCCACCCGAATAAATAAAAAAAATAACATTATTTCTTAAGTTTGATGAGCCACTTTTTGTTACAGGTGTTAGTGAGCGATTTGTTTATAAATTAATGAATGAAGAAAAACGAGCTGAAGAAACTAATACTAAAATATGTACACCTGGTAAAAACAGGGAAAGGAAAACAGGGAAACTAGAAGTTGATGACTTTGATATTGGTGTGATTAGGAGAAAAATCCATGAATTTTATTCAGTAAAAAAAGAAATTCCTTCTGTAACCAAGCTATTGAACATTTTAAGAGAAGATATCAATTTCCAGGGGAAACGTGAATCACTCAGAAAGTTGCTCCACAAAATAGGATTACGCTTTAAAAAAACCAAATCAAATAGAAAAGTGCTTTGTGAGCGTAATGATATAGTCGCATGGAGGGCTACTTATTTACAAAAAATTCATAATAATAAGTGTGGTGAGGATAGACCAGTTATTTATTTAGATGAAACCTACATACACTCATCTCACTCAACTGGCAAGTGCTGGCAAGGCCCTGATGTCGAAGGTGATTTGGAACCAGTCTCTAAAGGTCACCGGTGGATTATAGTTCATGCAGGGGGAGAAGAAGGTTTTGTGGAGAATGCTCTGCTTTTATTTAAATCAAACACGAAAAGTGGTGATTACCACGACGAAATGAACAACAATAATTTTAAAAAGTGGACTCTGGAAAAATTACTACCGAACCTACATAAACACTCACTAATTATTATGGACAATGCGCCCTATCACAGCGTTTGCATAAATAAGTGTCCTAACTCTAACCACACTAAGGCTGTCATGCAAGAGTGGCTATCTGAAAAAAATATTGACTTTTCAGAGCAAATGACAAAGCCTCATCTGCTGGAGTTAATAAAAAGAAACAAACCTGCTCCAGAATATGAAATTGATAATTTATTAAAAAGCCACGGTCATTCTGTCCTTAGGTTGCCTCCATATCATTGCGACTTGAACCCCATAGAAATGATATGGAGTTCAATGAAGAGAAATGTTGCAGAGCAAAATGTTGGGAAGTCAAGTGCTCAAATGCCCCAGTTAATTGAAAATGCATTTTGCAAGATCAGTTCAGCAGAGTGGAAAAACCACTGCCAACACGTGAAAAAAATTGCATGTGAGTACAGAAAAAAGGATGCTCATTTAGATGAACCTTTCATTATTCAATTACAGAGTGATAGTGAAAGCGATTTAAGTGATTCAGATTATGAGCCGTGGGTATCACCAGACTGCCCCACCACCAGTTCATCATATTCTATTGGGATTCCTGGGGTGCAGCCACTGGAACTTAGAGATCACGACCACAATTATTTTTATAAAATATAATGTAACTAGTTTGATATAATAAATCGTATTATCTGTTTGCAAAACAAAATATTTCTTTCTTTTCAACTAATTTATAAATTATATAGTTATGATATTTAAACATTAATTAATAAACTTCGATCAATATTTAAAATTACAGCTCACGTGATTTCGTATGTTTTAAATACCCTAAACTCCTGATAATTTTTTTAACTAAAAGTAAGTAGTCATTCAAAAATGTGTCAATTATACAAGCAATAAAATCAAACATTTACATATACATTGCTAAATGTAATCTCTTCTAGGTAACTTAACGATGGAATGAAAATATATTTATTAGCAGGCACGTACATATGTCATTTCAATCAGTATGCCAGGAGCCTGCAACTTTTGTAACGAGTAAAGCGAACAGATGCATTCATCCTTGGTATTATTGGCAATGTTTTAAAATATTATACATTATATTTTTGAACGTTGAAATTTTCTTTAACTTTAATACATACTACTATTGTATCATATCTATTACAATTTAAGTAAGACAAACTTTAAAATTCGAAATTAAGAAACAACGGTTCTGGATAGTATTGGGCCTACGATTAATCCTTGTGGTACACCGGGTCGCTTAGTTTACCGTTTAACCATATTTTGTTAAACAGATGAGTTGGTCATTGGCCTTTTAAAAATGTCTACACTTAGTAAGCAATATTCAATAGTAATACTAATACTTAAACGATGAATAGATGTGGGACCTACGGAAAAAAGACCAACGTAGTATAAGATTATTTATTGTGATTTTCTTTTTGATTTTCATTTCATTCATTTAAATAATAATTCTCAGATTATTAATACAACATTACGAAACATAGTGTTAATAACTACAATTGAAAACTCAACTTTTATGTTTAACTACTTTGATACTCTGACAAATTCTCATCTGCTATTTGATGTGAATCATTAACTTCTTTATCTTGTTTATTGTGTATTTGATTTTAATGTTTCAATTAAAGAACTGTATACTAACTTGAAAATGTTGCTAGAATTTGTACGGCGACAGCTCTAAATGTCACTTTGTCACTATCCATCGTGTCTGGGTCACACACATCAACTGAAGATCACACTCTAGTTCCATCCGACACATCCGTACATAAAATTAATAAATCTTTTGCAAATACTACCATAATTCCTAATTGTGAGTTGATAAGAAGTTAAAGCGTGTTTAGACGTTTGCTCGCAGTTTTATTATATACTATTTTATAACTTTGTCTCGCTTCAACGACTTGTGTCTCATGGGGGATATGTATCCACTACCGTTCTGGGAGTCGCTGATTAGATTTTTTCTCAGATAACATATTTTTGTATGCATTTGTGTGTAATGCCATTTTCCATTGATCTTGGTGTTTTTTATGATATAGGGGGCAAACGAGTAGATGGGTCACATATTGGTAAGTGCCTACCTATTTATTTATTTATTTATTTAAGGATCTTCAACAAGAATATCACATAGCATTCACAGAGAATAATAAATTATTGATCTGGTGTATTTTTAATTACAGAAGATCACAGTTTGCATTAAGAGTCAAACATAACATTTTGAATCAGAAATTACTATAACACAAATTAGAAGTAAATAAATTAATGAAAATTGACGGGTCTGTTGGTCTAGTGGTTAGCGGCCCTGACTGCTATGCCTGAGATCGTGTGTTTGATGCCCACCCAGGATAAATCATTGTGTGATGGGCACGATCATCTTGTATAGGTGTAATTAATCTAAAAAAATTATGTATTTCCGAAATATATAAGTATGTTTATCAGCAGTCTGGTTACCATAGTACAGGTTCTGCCTAGTTTGGGCTCAGTCTGTGTCTCTGTGAGATGTGTGAAGTTATTATTATTATTTAGGCCTATAACTCAAGGTTCACAAGTGCGTTGCCGCCCTTTCAGTCACTCTTCCCAGAATCAGGGGGGTGGGCTTTAGGCTCCGGTAACCTCATGCACTCGGTGAAAAGCAAGGAAAGAACTGATTCTGGGGAGAGTGGCTGAAAAGATGGCAACGCACTTGTGACCCTTGAGTTACAGGTGTGCATGGTTGGCGGCAGTCACTCACCACCAATTGACCCTTTTTTTTTTACGTGTGGAAACCCTCTCGGGCTGTCACCCCATGGGGTTTTCAGCAGGGTGACGTGTCGGGATCGGATCGACTAAAACCACACTGTGTGCCACTCTGCGCCTGTAATAGGAGGGATCCGAAAACTGCTGTTATTAAGACATCCGGAACCCTCCTAGCGCCTGCCCGCAACGGCGCGGGCACCACTTTCTCTATTTAGGCGACGTCCAACACAAGCGGACCATAATAAACTGCCAATGCGTTGGCAAAGATGCGTCGATTGCATGGGTGATTACTTCGAATAACAGAAATAAAAAAGTTTGAAAAAATAAGTACTTTCACTTATTGCATACAAAACGGCAATTTCATAGGTAAAGACCTAATATGTACCGTTATTTAAAATTTCGGTTACCATTTTGTCTTTTTTGAGAACAAATTCTTTAATCCTGTATGTGGCTGTCATCTTAAGATACAATGTTGGTAGAAGTCTATACTTTGATGTAGATTATATGGACGATGTATCTACACTATCTTATTAATTTAAATATACAAGAAAATCCTTTTACTGCAGTATAATAAACTATTATTACGCATTGTTTTATCTACATAACAATATTTATCAGAACAATTTCCTGGTTAGGATGTAAAATATTACCACAACATAATTATTATATTGCTAAAATTAAGAAAAAAGTAAAACGATTTAAATTTAATTGTCACCTGATTGTTACCAAGCCCAGTGTCTTGGACTGAACAAGTCAAAGAAAAAACCCGAGGAGTTTACCTGTAACTACTGCGAGAGGTCCCTGATGCGATGACTCTTATATCCAATACTGTCTACTTATCATAAAGTTTGAGGACCAACAAAAGCATATTGTTTATTTGCTTTTTATAACTTTAATACAAATGTGTCTGGTGTTTTTAAATTTTCATTCTAAACTTTTAATTTGATCATTTTTCAATTAACACGCTACGAACAACACTCACGTAAATACTTTTCGGAACAAAAAACTGCTTTTGTCACAGTACAAGGTAGCCATGTCTTGAAAATACCATCGAATTAACTGTTCAATAAATCTTCTGTCGATTAGGCAAGTGAAAGTGGGCAAGAAACTTGTGTCAAGTAAGAAGTAAGCTGAGAATCTTCAATTTCGTGGACTGATTGATATTCATAAATTATGTCTAAGGAGAGGCCTATGTCCAGCAGTGGACTATTTTAGGCTGTTGATGTGATGATGTGATATCTAAGAACGGCCTCGATCTCATCCTATCACAAAAATTGTGTCACTCGTTTCGATGACACAAGATCATAGATAAAGAAGAAGTTGATACTGGGGAACCCCTGTATAGAGATGAGAACAATATACCTAATGCTTAATAGAGTTAGGGCTACCTTGATCTGTTCATCGCACCAACATTTTCAGGCTGATTTGGGCTTACTACTGAGCCTTTTTCTGGTTAAATGGATTCAGTCATTTCAGATGTTGGATTCAGACATATTTAGTGGACCCCAATCTGAAGTTTCTGCTAAGAAAGTTTTGATTTCCTGCTTTTTTCCTAAATTTATTTGAGAATGCAAAAAAATACAAAAAATTAAAAAAAAAATGACCTGTATCTTTATGGGCGGCCACCTATCTCACTATAACTCCTGTTTAGACTGTAATCCTTAGCAGATAATACAAAAGGAGAATGTGACTTTGGGTAAAGAAATGGATAAGGTAAAGGAGGGTATAGATCGAAGAAGCTGTGATCACGCCTGCAAATCGTTAAAAGATATTAAAGGGTCAATCGTTTCAGTACATACCTGATGGCATAGTGGTTTGTGTAACGGACTGCTATTCCAAAGGTCGCGGGTTCGATTCCCGCTCAAGTCAAACATTTGTGTGCATGAACATTTAATGTTTGATTTGGTCTGGGTTACAAAAAAAAAGTATACTCGTATATGTATTTATATCAGTTGTCTAGTACCCATAGTACAAGCTCTGCTTAGTTTGGGACTAGATGGTGTTGTGTGAATGTGGTAAAATATATACCTCTCCTAAACTTAAAAATGACACTTTTGACCCCATGTTGTTGATGGCCGTATTTATGACATCCTTTTGCCGCAGCTAATCAAAACCTTTTTATGGATTAACGGAAAATTTAGACGGAATTTTCCGTTAATCGTAAAAAGGTTTACGTTACGGCAAAATTCAGGCGTCTAGTTATCATAAATTAGAATTAGGTATTTTTGACGCTGCAAGATAAAGTCACTGACTCACTTGACGATCATTTAAATTCTGTAGTAGGTACATCTAACAGAGACAGAAACTACAAATATTGAACACATTATTGGCATTTAGCTAATAACAGAAGGAAAATTCCCGCTCATAAAATTGTGCCATCTCATTCATACTAAATTTGGTATTAAGCATCATTTCACCCTGTAATAATCATCATCATCAACAGCCTTTAATAGTCCACTGCTGGACATAGGCCTCTCCTTAGAAAAGAGGTTTTGGCCTACTATACCACGCTGGCCAGACGGGTTGGTATAGGGTTTGTATCAAGTTTTCCTTATTTTTGCAGTGCTGGTGTCCTGCGTTGTTTTGCGCCCTTAGTCTCTTACGAGACCCACGGAATGAATTGGGGTAGTGACATTCCGTATTCTTAATCCGTCACTACAATAATATTATACATCATTGTTTCTTTAATAAATAAATATTTATTTTTCGAGAAATTCGATTTGCTACCTCTATTGCGAATTTTAGACTTAATAGTATGTTGTTTTTGATAAATTCTAAAAATAATGGAATCGTCTTAAGTTAAAAGAATTTTATTTCTCAGGAGAACTTATTAATTTATTTTTATATTTACACTTAATATATTTCTGACATGCTTTCTAGTATATATTTATACATAGAATTTATCCTTTTAATTTATGTAATTGAATTTTATACCTACCTAAATTTTATTAACGCATTTGTTAAGTTCACTCTTCGTTGTAAGATACTCGTATGGTGTGTATGTGTTATATTGTATGGTAGTCTGTTGTATAGCAGCATTCCCTCGGAAAGTATCGAACTTAAGTTGCGCTAACACTTTTATTTTCATAACTTGCTATCTTCTATCCAAATAAATAACATTGAAGTGTCTGTTTGTAATAGGGTTTTTTCATGCTTACACGGTTATTTGCACGATATCTATGCCTAAAAACCAGTGTAAATATTTTTGTCTGTCTGTCTGATTGTTTCAGGTAACCTTCAAAACGGATGGATCGATTTTGATAATATTTTACTACCTTAGACAATTTTTTTCTCTCAGAAAAATCCTATAAAATTTTGCCCGGTCTGAGAATCGAACTCACTAAGGCAGCGCTTTTCAAATTCCACGAGAACAAAGTCGCGGGCACCAGCTAGTTTTAACCATAACTAAAATATTTATAGTTTTTCACGTGATTCCTGTATAATTTAGTCTTTGTAAAAAAAAATAGTGACTTGCTGTGTCAGAATTAAAAAAAGAAAAAAAAATAGTTTCTTAAATTATTCAAAGTTTTATACTACGAGTGTCAATTATATATAGAGTAAAATACGATTTAAAAATCAAAGGCAAACGGTACAAGACTTGGTCCGAGACCTGGTCGCAATTTTGCCAAAACAGACAATTGTTAGAAACATATCTTGCAACTTCTGTGATTTATTTATTTTTTTATTAGAATTCTCTACGAAAGATATACACAAGTAAAAAAACAATAATTGACTTGATCCGGGCCTGGTCGCAACTTTCCAAAACAGACAATTGTTGATAACATATATTTAAACTTCTATGATTTATTTATTTATTTATTAGAATCTCCTAAAAGATATAAAGGAGTATAAAGTCGGTGTATTCCTTCACTTACAGGAAACCACAGCAAGCATAGTGAAAAAATAATATCAACCAAGCGAACAAAGTTACAAGCAATGTGCAAAATTTAAAGTTAACAAAAATATATTTAAATTAAAAATTGTTAAAATATAAAAAAATACAAAATTGAAATACAAAACAAAACAAAAAATAAAACGTTGAGGCTTACATTACATTAAAGCTGTTAAGCATTTTTTTATATTTAGAAAAACATAGGCATATTTCTAAATCAGTCGTTTTGGCTAACATGTTATATTGCCTACAAAGTCTTGGCACAGCGGCGTAATGACCCAGGTTTGTATTGGAGCCAGGGATGACAAATAGGCTAAAAGTGTTATGCCTGGGAATCCTAGTTGGAATTTAAATGGGTTTGCAGCTCAAAAGCTCACTGCAATCTATTGCTAAATGATCATGCAAACATTAACAAATATTTTTTAATGTTTTGTAAGACACGATAGCTTTTTTTAATAAGTGGTTCTCAAATCTTACTCTCTTTCTTACTTTACTTTCTCTTTCTGAATCCTTGCTTTGAGAATGCTTCCTGGATAGCATCAACTGATAAACCTTTAGTTTCGGGTACATAAATATAAATAAACAGGGATCCAGCAAAACACATAAAGAAAAATATATAGAAAACTGGACCGAGCCCAAGGGACTCAACCAACGGATGAAAGACGAAAAGAGTAATGAAATTGAAGATCCACACGAAGGAATAGCAAAAGCTGTTGCAAAGACTTCGTACCTGCAAATTAAATAATTCAGTTAAGAACTCTGCCATTTAATTACTCTTGTTATTGAAACCGTAAGTCAGACAGTAACTACAAATATAAATTTACATATTAAGCACTATCTGAATGTCATCAAATTTTATTTCCTTATCAGTTTATCTAGTATAAAACTTATTGAATGTATAAATATTCTATAAATGAATATTATAGAAATATCTTGGAGAAAATAAAAATAAATGAAATAATAATAATATATCAACAATAACACACTAATACTGGGTTTGTCAATAAGAATAATTTAGATTTTTTCTAATGCCTGATTTATGGTTAGGCAACTATCGGTGAGGAGCTAACAGCTGAGAGGGCCCTAGATTCGTCGGAGTACCAGGAATTTCCTTTCAAGTTTACTTGATTCCCCGGTTACTGGTACCCGAGGCGGCGTTTAGTTTTTAATCAGCTAGAGTTCCTAATAACTACTCCACTGATCATCCAGTGTGGGGTATCTGAGAGGATTGCCAATCAAACTGGCTTAAATCACACAGTTTGCCACACCTTTGTTTCATAAATTAGCAGAATGCCAAGAACAGTAAGTTGTCGGTATGAAAATACTCGTAAAATCTAGAGTAATTTTACAATTGTGATGTCATTAGCTTACCTCTGGTAGAAACACTTCGGATGCCAACACAGAAGGCAACACAGCACAACCAGCGGTAAACATGAAACCGTACCCGTATATGAGTACAACTGTAAACCAGTGAGGAGCCCAGTGAAACTGCAACTGAGAGCCCAGGAGGCCTGCGCATATGCCTGCTCCAATTGACGTTGTCAGTATGAGGGACTAAAAAATAAAAAAAACCGATGGAAAAATAATCTTATATCTTAAATTATGATTTAATAAAATTAGTATTGAATATAATAGTATTGAATATAATATAATAATAGTATATAATATAAAAATAAGTACTGAATTTAATAATAATAAGGTACCAGTTCCCATTATATTTAAGTCTACGAGTATCTGACCCGCGCAATTTTGTTTGAGTCTCTCAAAAGGATAAATTTTCTCCATTTCTGCAACATTTTTCATTGACGCTTGGCTTCTATTGGTCGTGATTTTATGTTGTTTAGCTTTTAGCCTTTCTAAACAAATGGGCTATCAAACACTAACAGTTTTTAGTTCATTTGAACTAGTAGTTCCTGAGATTAGGACGTTCAACCAAATAAACTAACTCTTCCGCTTTATAATATTAGTGTAGATGTATTTACTTTAAAGCTCCACAAATATTTACACTTTTATAATTGAGCTTTAATTACTGTATCTAAACCTCCTATGTCCAGCAGTGGCCTATTAAAGGCTGTTCATGATGATGATCAAAATAATGTGGGATGTAATTAGTGTCAAAAAAGAGTGGAAAAATGTTCAAATCTGTGTTATTTAATTTCAGATTAGGTAAATAAATCAACCCTACTTAATGAGTCATTTAGTCTGCGAGAAGTTTCAACCCAAAATAAATGTTTAAATAACAAAAGTTTGTCGGAATAATAAGAATACTAAATTTAAATTTCGAAAAAAAAAATTTCTCTACTGTCAATGTTTGGTCAAATTTTGTCAAATTATTCCCGTAATAATTTTTGTAAATAAGTATAAGCAAAACTTATAAAATCAAAATGCTGTTCGTACCTTTCTGCCAAATTTATCAATCATAGTTACGCACAACACAGTTGCGACCAAAGAGTCTAGAGCAACAAAGATGGCACACTGATTAGCTGACATGGTTGGTACTGCTTCAGAAAATAACGGTTCAGCATAAACTTGTAATACAATACCGCCCATTAAAATAGTGACGGCTGTGACAATCAGAATTATAGTGAGGATACTCTGCGAGGATTTAGATTTTACTGAAACATAAAGCATAAATATTAAAATCAAGTATTAGAGTTATTAGATGCAAAAATATCCATAAAATGAGTAAATAAAAACTTCTATACTAAATTGTATATTGTATAAACATATACAAATTTACTCATATCGTTGAGTTACATCTGAAATGGATAAGGTAGACTGTTATACAATTTGATGAAGAACCTTCACTGGATCCGAATTTTATTTTATAATAATAGTATATTATATTGGGCGAAATATACATATGAAGTAGTTATACTAACAGGGATGTTTTATATTGTCTAAATGTGTAATATCTACTAATTGACTTGAGATTGATTTTATTTAACATTTACCTGTGGGTAGTTTTAAAAATACAAACACGCACATTGACGGATACTTACATAACTGTTTCCAGGCGGATATATCTTCCTTTTCATCGTCTATTTCTTGCTTTTCCAATAATTGATCTGCTGTTTCAGGATCTAAAAGGATAGAGACAGAATAAATAATTAGTATTCATACAAGTAATAGGTCATATGATTTTGGTGAGTTACTTCATACGGGTGATTAACAATTACATCATCTATATAAGAATAACAATTGCTAGGGAAATTATTATAATAACTATTTCAATCAAAAACATATACTTCTGAGAAAGGTTTAGGTGAAACTTAGACTTGGTTTAGGTGAAACTTAGACTTGGTTTAGGTGAAACTTAGACTTGGTTTAGTTGGACAATAAATCTAACGTTTAATTACTTATCTGGCCCGTTGGTCTAGTGGTTAGTGACCCTGACTGCTAAGCCGCAGGTCGTGGGTTAGATTCCCACTTAGGAAAATAATTGTGTACGATCATTTTCTCTTTGTGTGGGTGTAATTTATCTATAATATGTATGCATTTAGAAATATATATATTGACTATGTTTATCAGCAGTCTGGTTACCATAGTATGGGCTCTGTCTAGTTTGGGATCAGACTGTGGTGTGTGAGATGTGTTAAGTTATTATTAACTTTCTCATTTACTCACCCTTTTCACATTGGTCTTCAACTGAAAGCATCTTCTCTAATTTTGGGTTTATTGTCAGTTTAATGTTAATTATCTCAGCTGCTACTTCTTTTGATTTGGCATCCAATTGTCTATAGAAAGCTAATGACTTTGCTGCTTCCTAAAAAATCGTATAAATTTAGTATTATTTTATTTTATTTTACAACTTTATGCACTTGTGTACACCGGCGTACTTAATGTCCAGGGCATTCTCTAGCAGCTAACCTTTGGGTGGTGTAGAAATCTGGTGAGGTAGGGTGGTGAGGTTTGGTGGTAGCACTGAGGTTGCAGTTATAATAGCAGTTATGTAGTTTTAACTAACATATACAATTACACAGATACTTAAATACAAATATTTAATATTCGTACACTGTAAATAGGGAGGTGTACTATTGAGTAGGTAATTCCGGCAACTGAAGAAGGTAGCTATGTACATGCTTTTTAAAAGTGAAACGGTTTGTGGACATTCTGATTTCAAGTGGAAGCGCATTCCAGAGCAGTACTGCTTGCACAAAGAACGAAGAGTTCACGAACGCGGAATTGTGGGAGGGACACAGGAGAAGCAAATTATTTGTTGAGCGAAGATTTCTGTCGTAATTGGTGGACAGGAAATGCAGATAGGGATCAAGGCAAGTAGGTGAGAATGGAGAGTTGAGAAAAGAGAGAGGTCATCGCTCTCTGATTACGGCGCAGGCGAATAGACAACCATTGTAATTGGGAACGTAAATCAGAGACGTGGTCATCCTTTCGAAGATTGAATATATATCGAATGCAGTTATTAAAAAGACGGTCTAGCTTGTTAAGGATTTCTGCATTCAGGTCCAAGTAACACACATCGCCATAATCAATTAGAGGGATAATTAGGGACTACATGAGAGAGATTTTTGTTTTGGGAGGCAGGAAATTCTTAAGACGGTATAAAGTTCGCAGGTTTTCGGTTACTTTCTGACTCACATGAGTAACCTAGGCCTAGGTCATTGACTACCGAGCTCTAAGGTATAACTGAGACGTTGAAGACGGCCGGTGGGATTAAAGCTGTATCTAATCTGCTTATCATAATTTTGCTGCCTACAATGATTGCCTGGCATTTGGTGGGGTTCACTGACAATCCGAATCTCGTCGAACAGGGTTTTATGAGCTCAAGGTCCTTGTTGATGTTATTGATCGCTTGTCTTATGTCCTCAACCCTTGTCTGTGAATACAGCTGCAGATCTTTGGCATATAGGTGATATGCACACTGAAGGTGTTGAGTTATGAGGTTGATAAAAGAGAAGATAAAATTCCGCCTTGGGGGACGCCAAAAAATGAGTCAATCTCTAGCATTGTGTACAGGGATTTACATACATCGAAAGAGATTGTACTAGTGCCACATAATACATTGGGGTAAAATGCACTGTAATTCCTGAAGGTTAAGGTTCATAATAGTTTGAGCCCTATATATTTCACTGTTGTTTTTCAAGTGTATATTTATTTGTTGTATTTTGTGTATGTGTTAAGATGTGGTGACATCGGTTATCGAAGTAATCGGGCGCTAATTCATTTCTGGTGTCTTATTATTACGATTTATGCAGTTCTGTAAAGTTCTGTCATTATAAACATGTTTAAAACTGTTTAAAATGCCAAGAAGAGCGATTTCAAAGATTCATCGAATGAGTATTATAATTCTTTGTTAATCGTAGCAATATGTATCTTCAAGGGTTTTTGTTTCGCAGAAAGAGATATGGAATACATATAATAATACAATTCCTATAAGTGATACATTTTTTTTTAATTTGTGTATAAGTTAGAATGACATTACCTCTTCTTTTCCAACCAGTAGCAGGAACACGGGTGATTCTGGTAGAAAAGCAAGCACCAACATCGTCAGCACTGACGTGGTCAAATGAACCAACACTATCGTCATATACCCCAGGTACCCACCCATAGTAAATGATATCAAAATACCTGAAAAGTCATTAAATTTCAATATTTAAAAAAATTGTTCTGTCAAATCTATCTAATCTAATCAGAAGCTGTTATGTGAAACTAAATAGACGAGAACTCCTTTGTTTGTAAGGAATGTTGTAAGAAGATGCTGTATTAAGATTAGTGTTATTTTTGCCAGTCGCGTTGCCCGTAATAAAATTTTAGGCATGTTTAAAAAAATTACAACAGTGGTATCTTATAAGTAAACTTACACAGTAATTATCATGATCATATTTTATTGTTGGTTACGTATCAACAACAAAAACTGGTATCAACAAAAACTTAATGAGCCTACATGATGATTGTAGTTTTATTCCTCATTCCTTACTTTTTAATCTTACGGGCGGTACTTATTATTTGAATTTGAATTAAGCCCAATAGGAATTATGTACGTCCTAATTTAAAAAAATCTGTGTGACGACAGATTAAGAATACAGAGCCGATTAAGGTAGCAAACTACGCAGGAAAAAAGGTACTGCCAAAAGAAGGAAAACTTGAAACAAACCCATTTTTTTTTTTTTTTTTAACGTGTGGAAATCCCCTCGGACCGTCACCCCTCCGGGGTTTGCGGCGGGGTGGTGTGTCGGACTCGGACCGACTAAAACCACACGGTGTGCCACTCTGCGCCTGTAACAGGAGGGATCCGGGAACAGCTGTTGTTAAGACATCCGCACCCCTCCTAGCGCCAGCCCGCTCCTGGTGCGGGCTCCGTCTCAATATATTTTTTCCTCTCTTTAGGCGACGTCCGGCACACGCGGACGCCGCCCCCTCGCGGCTGGCCAAACTAATGCGGGTGGAGGGGAAACCCACCCCGTCCACCCGCGGCCACACTCAGGGCGGCATGAGGCTGTGATAGGCGGGCCTCCGCCGCCCGGTTCGCCGGCGGCGGATCGGCGGCCGGCGGGGGAGTTCCGGCCAACGCGCATGCCACCTCCGTCGAGACGGTGCGGTAACCGCGTATGGCTCTGACCGCCATTACCCTCTGAGGGCGCCAGAGGCGTACCCTATTCTGGGCGGTCAGAGCCGCCGCCCACACCGGTGCACCGTACAGTGCCATTGACCGGACAACCCCCGTGTACAGCCGTCTTGTCGCGACGCTGGGTCCACCCATATTGGGCAAAAGTCGCCCTAGGGCAGACGCAGCGCCGACCAGCTTTGGAGCAAGCTGTCGGAAGTGCTCGTCGAAGAGCCACCTCCCGTCGAGGATCAGGCCCAGATATTTCATCTGGGCCCGAACCGGTACGAGGACCGAGTTGACCACGATTGAGGCGCCAGGGGGTGGACCACGACGGGGCCCATGAAATAACAGGGCCTCCGTCTTATCTAGGGCCACCCGTAAGCCCAGCGCCTCAATGCGCCCGACCACCAGGGAGACTCCCCCTGTGGCCAGGCGCGCCGCCTCTTGGAAGTTTGCCCCCCGGGCTGTCACCAGGGTATCGTCTGCGTAACAGATTACACCCAGCCCGGGGGGGAAATCGGCGCGAAGGGCCCAGTCGTACCCTATGTTCCACAAGAGGGGTCCAAGAACAGACCCCTGTGGAACACCGCACGACATGGGCCGACACCTCAAATTACCTTCTCGGTCCTCGTACACGACGGTACGCTCCTCTAAATAGTCTGCCACTAGCCGCCTCAGGTACTTTGGCACCCCATGATAGTGGAGTGCTTCCCTGATGCAGCTGAATGGCAGACTATTGAATGCGTTGGCGATGTCTAATGACACCGCCAACAGCACGCCGCCACAGCTCACGGCCTCTTCGGTCACGGCCCTCAGGCGCAACACGGCGTCGACTGTCGAACGCCCCGCCCGAAAACCAAATTGGGCGTCCGACAGATCGGGGCCCACCTCGCAGAGGTGCCGGACGATGCGGGCAGAAAGAACCCTCTCAAACAATTTACCCGCCTCGTCCAGCAGCACGATGGGCCTATAGGCCGAGACCGAATCGGCAGGCCGTCCCGGCTTCCTCAATAGGACCAGCTTCCCGCTCTTCCAGCACTCAGGGAAGCGTCCCGACGCCAAGCTAGCGTCGAACACCTCCCCGAGGCGGTCTGCCATGTGGTTGAGGGCCAGGGCCAGCACTCGGGCCGGTACCCCGTCTGGCCCAGGGGCGGTGTTCTTGGAACGGATCCGTAGAACAGCCGCCCCTACCTCCGAATCCCGGACGGGCGTAACATTATCCTCCCCGTGCTGCCCGTCGTCTCCGGCCAAGGAGGCCATCGCCGGGGGAGTGTGTTCCGCTCGTTGTGGGAAAAGGCCCTCAACCACTTCTCGCAGGAAGCTGGGCTGGAGAGTCTCCGTAAGGGGGGGGCCCGACGCGCGGAGCTTTTGTCGCACCGCGCGGTAAGGGCGACCCCAGGGGTCACGATTAAGACCCTCCAGCATCTCCTGTCTCTTTTCTTCTTTGGCGCGGCTAATGGCCAGCTTCAGAGTTTTCCGCGCCCGTCGGTACTCCTCATGAAGCCGGTCCTCCTCACCGTCTCCACGGTGACGCCGCCGACTGCGCGTGTAGGACCTCCGGGCACGTGTACAGGCCGCACGGAGGTCCGCCAGCTCCTGGGACCACCAGTAGACCTCCTTCCTTGGAGGCCGACGACCTCGAATGCGGGGCATGGCCGCATCGCATATATGCGTAATCGCATCGCGAAAGCGACCAGCCCCCACGTCGACCTCCTCGGTCGGAGCCTGAGGAGACAGCCACGAGTGAATTATGGCTGCCTCCTCTAGTAGGTCCCGGTCCAGTCTGGCGTCCCGGTTCAGTCTGGCCCCTACACCAACCCGTCTGGCCAGCGTGGTATATTGGGCAAATACGAATTGAGAACATCGACACTTTTTAATTACATATAATTATTAGAGCGCATATCAGTAAGAACACATACTCGTGGGTGAGAATGATTTATTTCGCAAAGTGACATAATTTTTTTCGTAACCATTTTGGGTTCTGCGCCATTTTAAAGGATACATTGAAGAAACTATCAGGCCCAGATAATTAGTTTTTTTTTAAAACACTCATTGCTATCTTGCCATGGCAGTAAACTTATAATACATGTGTTTAAAGATGTGACGTGGAACAAAGTGATATTGTTATTTTTAGATTTAGTGCTTAGATATAACTTACTACCGTAATATCTTCTTTTTGTTATTTCATACCAAACGAGTATTAGCGCCATATAATTTATCACTCACTGACTTTTGTCACTATTTGTTCTTTTATAAGTTAACTGTAGTTTATTATGGCTCAATAAAGACGACCAAATTAGAAAATAAATACTGCTTTTGCTGCAGTACAGAAGATAGCATAGAAGCTTTTACAGAATTGGTCATGACAACTTTTTCTTTATTCGAACAGAGTGATACTTAATTTTTTTTACGTGAGCATTAAATAATCTCTACCTACTTACATCTATGTACTAAAATACATTTCAATATGCTTAATAGATGATAGAATGTTTGCTTTTCTCTCCTAATTTTGCTAATTTTCTACATTTATGAGACCCGTGTTTACATTATGGAGTGCAATAAACGCATTGAATTAAATTGATATTACGACCTTACAGAGAACAAGTGTTAAGTAATTATTTCCATGCTTTTCACCGAATGAGAAAGGTTTGCGGAGACCTAACCCCAAATATCATGGATGGCCTGTTCGTCTAGTGGTTAGTGATTCTACTAAGCAGGAGGCACAGTGTGGTGACGGATTGTCATTCATCCCGTGGGTGTCGTAAGAGCCGACTAAGGGAGCAAACTATGCAGGACAACAAAACTGTTAAGAGAAGGAAAACTTAAATCAAACCCTATAACAACCCGTCTGGCCAGCGTGGTATAGTAAGCCAAAACCTCCTTTTTAAGGAGAGGCCTATGTCCAGCAGTGGACTGTTAAAGGCTGTTGTGTGATGAGCACTATCATTGTGTCCGGGTGTAATTTATGTATATAATATATATGTAACTCGAAATATATAAGCATGCTTATCAACAGTTTAGTTACCATAGTACAGCCTCTGTCTAGTTTGGGTTCAGACGACCGCGTGTGAGATGTATGAAGTTATTATTATCATTATTATCTTTCGATGGAATTAAGGGCGGCAAAGCCCTTGTGGCCCTTTTGTGTTGTAGGCGTTCATGGACATCGGTAGACACTCGTCAATATTTAAAAATTCATTTCGACTTTTAGAAAAGTATTAGACTTTTAGTAACATTGCTAAAATTGAAATATACAGACCTAGGAGATATCCACATGATGTACTGGCAACCATTGCACCTCTTATAGAAGTATGTGCTATCTCAGATAAAAAGATATTAGAAACATTCTGACCGGCAACACCAGCGCCAGCAATCGTAACTGCTATTAAAATCAATAGGTGGTTGTTTGTTAATGAAATGATTGCCCATGATATCTGAAAAATGAAGAAGTAAAAGTTATAGTAGGTTATTTTAGATATTCGATATTATGAGAAGGGCTATTTAATAACACTCCTTCAGAAAGGGACTACTAAGCTGGGCAATTAGGCGTGAGACACGGGCGTGAGGCGCCGTTGATATTGGTTAAATCTAAATTGCGAGATACAGAATTACAAGACCTTTCACGTTTCTGCAGATTTACGCTAGACGGCGCTGAAATATATTTTGCTGGATGATCTTGGCGATGAAAGCAGCTAAAGCAGCAGAAAGAAAGAAGTTAACTGTAGTAGATAAAAAAAACTTTTATCGGAACCTGATTTAATAAAATATTATTACATAAATTAATGTAGTTGTTTTAAAAATTTCGGCTTTCACCATTTTTGAATCGGTAAATTGCGACTTAATAGCTTAAAAACTTTAGTATTAGACGTGTGGACATATAAAAAAATTGGCAAAAGTTTTTATGGATGATCCGAATTACGGGCAATGTCTGCCGGGGTGCTTGGGAACTTTTTCCTAGGGTATACCGAGTGACCCTATTTTAACATGTCTGTCAAAGGACGGCACTAGTTACTGACGCAACGGGAGCACCAGTGAGGTGATTATCCGTGGAGGTTTACACACGATAAAAACATTTATATTAGGTAATGATTTGTCTATTTTAAGTACTCCATATCCAGCCCACTCATAATTTAAACAATTTTGCTCATTTTCATTTTTAGAAATATTTGCGGGAAACCCCTTTGGAACAACATTTTGTGCAAAATCTTTGTTGAAGGTTGGGTTTCTACTTCCTATGTATAGCAATGCCTTGTATTTTGGTCTAACTATGAAGTAAAAATGTTTTCTCCACTACTAATTCATATATAACGATAAAAACTTACAATAAATGGTAGGACAAAAAGCATAGTTCCATATTTTCTTCCAATAGTATTAAAGGCCCATCCACAGAGTGGCATGGACAGCAATCCGCCAAGGTTGGGCAAACCGCCCAACAGTGAGATTTCTAACGAAGACATTGGTATCCCCAACACTGTTTGGTTGGACAGAAAGTTCGCCACGTTGTACGAAGGCCATGCCATGACAAAGCCAGTTTGTATCGCCATGCAACTCACTGAAAAATATTGCCAACGTCAGATTTTATTTTTTACCAATACCCAATGTAATAATAATTAATTTAATAAAAATAAGTAGTATGTATGTTTCATTTTCATCATCATCAACAATCTTTAGTAGTTCAGTACCAGTTTGTTTGCCCTTTCTTCTCATAAGGCTCAATACCTTGGAAACGGGCGGTTGTATATCGGCACAGGCGTATCATAGATTTTGTATAAGTTTAATTGTTATTAAATTTATTTGCTTACTATTTGACAAAACAGAGATTGTTGCTATTGTGTGATCTATGACTTTAGAGTCTACATAAATACGATTTCAAACAATTTTATTTTCTAAATTTAATAATGAGAGTTTGAGTTTTCAAATTTTGATTGTCTTTGCAGTGCTGTTGTCCTGCGTACTTTTCTCCCTTAGTCGGCTCTTACGACACCTACGGGATGAATAGGAGTGGTCACACTCTGTATTCTGGTGTGGCCATGGCTAATAGATCATTTTACTCGTAAATAACTATTTATTATAGTAAAAAACCTATAGTAACATAACTTATTCTGGTCTATTCATCTGACTTGTTATAAAGGCGATAGTTTGTGAGTGTGTATGTATGTTTGGTATTTCTTCACGCTCAAATGGCTAGACCAATTTTGATAAAATTTGGTGTGGAGGTAACTGACACCCAGGACTAACACATAGGTTGTTTATTATCCCGAAAAAATGCAGTGTTCCAGTGCATATATAAGTGATATAAATATTATACGTTTAAGTGTATCTGATAAACCGCGGATCAAAGTAAAATTATATATATGGGTATATACAGGTCATCATCATCATCATCAGCCTATCGCAGTCTACTGCTGGACATAGGCCTCTCCCATTGGACGCCACTTAGATCGATTTTGGGTTCTCGCATCCAGGTAATTATATACAGGTAATTAAAATATAAGTTTCAAAGAAATTTTTCTCCAAAGATATTTACTTGTTTGATAATATATTTCAACCATTACTGCAGGGTACAGCTATGCTATCTGTTTAAGGCCCTTTAGTCATCCAAGACGTTGAACTACTTAAAACAATAATTTTGTATAAAATAACCATTAACCAATTTAATATATATATAAATTAATAAATACTATTAATTGTTCAAATTTAAGCTTTGCGTAATATTTTCTTACTTACCAATTACAGCGGACACCGCTTGAACCAAAAATTCAATAGGTTTCATTTTTGTTGCTTCCATTTTTGAAACTTTTTTGTTTTTGGACTGATATCATGTATACACTTTCAAAATCTAAATCTTTTTGTTTTTAATAAAAAAAAACTAATTGTATTGTACTCTATTTCGTTCACACTACCGTGATATAATGAAGTTTTATCTATTTGTGATGAATTAAGTAGTATCAGCTATCTTTATATAAATGTTGTCACTTTTACAAATATTTACTACTATATTATATTTTATGCAAAGTAGATTATAATAAGAGCATCGTCCTTCATCCATAGGTCTCTGTTCTACTTCTAACCCAAAATTCACGGGGAGGAAGGCATTAACAAAAAAAAAACAACATGGAATTAAAACACTTGCTCGAGCTACACACACACACACACGAGCACTCACAAACACACACACACACACACACACACATACCCATATACAAATACTCAATGGTAAAACCACAAGAAATAATACTCTACAGGGTAGTGTGAGAAAGAAAGGTCAGGAATTCCATTTGATGTATTAAAGATAATCATTTACTTGATCATAACTAGACGTAAATATGGAAATTATTACCTAAATATCAGAAGAACCAGAACATCCATTAATTTAAAGACGTATGTCTAAGGAAAGTCGCCAGTACCTACCAATTTTTGAACGAATGGCGTAGTGGTTTAAGCGGTCGCCACGCCCGCGCCGCTTACTACTACGCTGAGTGTTGTGGGTCCGATCCCCACAAGGGACGACACTTTGTGTAATCCACAAATTGTTGTTCTGAGTCTGGGTGTTCTTTGTTTCCGTTTCATGTATGTTTGTAAAGTCTCCCGCGACACAGGATACCTATATTCCTAATGTGGGAGTTGTCTTTTAAAAAAAAAAAAAAAAATTGTGTTAATTTCTCGTTGTGCTTTAAAGCATCTGAAAATGAAATATCAATTTGTGTGATCTTTCATTTAAATTATTAATTTAACATAACTTAAACACAGTCATTGCGGAACAATGTAAATGGCAAGAATAGATAGATAGAGAACTCTTAATTTGTACGTATTTTACAAGAAGTATGGAATATACAAGAGTCAGACATATAATGTACAAAGGGCGGCCTTATTGCTAAGAGCAATCCTTTCCTGGCAACCTTAGGATGGATCAAAATGTTCCATAGAGACTGTAGTAGCTGACGGTGAAATGAGTTGTTCAGGTTAACTGCTAACGAATATAAAAAAGAATAATAACTAGACTTTGACATATTTAGTTTGACATTTTAAATTGTTATTTATTTGACATATTGAGTTGGACATTTTTAATTATTTTAACATTTTTTCCCAATTCATGGTCATTTATCAATATATTATTTAATTAAGAAATAAAGTCTATTTTTGTTGAATTCAATAAGTATGTGATTACAGGACTTTAAACAGTTGTATTGTAACAGGAATAATTAATTACTTTTATTGTTTTGTATGCCTACTGGCGAGACATGGCGATATTTTAAGTATGGTTTGTAACATCTGAACTTACCTGTGTTTTACGAAATAAATGATTGATTGATTGAAAAATATATAAAATAAGAAGAGAAATATATAGAAAAATATATATAATATAATAAATATACACATATATATATATGTATATATATACACAATTACACATACATATTTATATAATGGTGGTGTGGTGACGGATTAAGAATACAAATTGTCACCACCCCAATTCATCCCGTGGGTGTCGTAAGAGCCGACTAAGGGAGCAAACTAAACAGGACAACAGCATTGCAAAGAGAAGGAAAACTTGAAACAAACACTATACCAACCCGTCTGGCCAGCGTGGTATGCCCGTGGCCAAAACCTCCTTTCTAAGGAGAGGCCTATGTCCAGCAGTGGACTAGTAAAGGCTGTTGATGATGATGATGATGATTTATATAAATAAAGAAAATACTTATACAGAGGATCTTTGTGAATAAATCAAATGGTCAACTCAGGTCAAGTTATCATCATATCATCGTATGATCATCATCATCCTATTGCAAACTGCTCAGGACAACAGCACTGCAAAGAGAAGGAAAACTTGTAACAAACCCTATACCAACCCGTCTGGCGAGCGTGGTTTATTAGACCAAAACCTCCTTTCTAAGGAGAGGCCTATGTCCAGCAGTGGGCTGTTAAAGGCTGTTGATGATGATGATCCTATTGCCCTTCTCCCAAATGCTTTTGAGGTCGGCGAAATGAGTTTTCTTCTTCCATTCCCCTCTGTCATTCGTCAGCTTACCGCTTACTCTCACTCCAGCCATATCTTCTTTTACTTAGTCCACCCATCTTTTCTTTTTCCATCTACTCTTAAACCCGTCACATCACTCATATTCTGCATAATTTATTTGCTCAGTGGAGGCTTATCATTTACAATGGGTCAAGGAGCGGAGAGCTTGCGATATTATTTAATATATATACTATACATTGATGCGTTTTAACATGTCTAAAGTTCTTTGAACTAAATGCAGAAAATATTACTTCTATGGTATGTAGTAATACACCTATGGAATTAGTCAATGTTCCAAAATTCAATTACAAATTTTTGTTAGATAAAAAAATTTGCTTTATTTTTTATAATTAAACTTTTTTGGGTAGTATACTAGTGGGTAGCATACCAAAGCAGGAGTTGCACTATATTTACATTATTTAGATAATTATTTACCCATTGTAATAATAATAAAATCGGCGTAGTGGGTCTATGGACCCCCGGTTGGAGCGATGTTACTTTCGCTTTTTGGTAGACGTTTGCTATACAGTCATTATAGTTTATATTACAAAATATCAAGTTAACAGAATTAAATTGAAAATTTTATAAATAAAATATATTTACTATGAACTAAATAAAGAATGATAAATTAAACACTGAATGATCTGGGATAATTAAGCAATTTCGGCGTGTGTGCGTCGATGTATAAAGTTTGTACGCGGCTGTAACTATAGCAAGAAGTGTCGCAAAAAATTTTTTGTTACAAATTTTTTGGTCTCGCTCCCATCCGCTTTGACTGTGTAACGAGCGATTAGAAACCAAGTTCCAATAATTACTTTACACATCTCACACACGCCAGTCTGATCCCAAACTAGGCAGAGGCTGTACTATGGTAACCAGACTGCTAACTAACATGGAAATTAGAAGTGATGAAATAGCAAATTATTGGAATCTTTAACAACACAATATAGAACCATCTAATTGACTGCACGGATGGCGTAGTGGTTTAAGCGGTCGCCACACCACTTACTACTACGCTGAGTGTTGTGGGTTCGATCCCCACATGGGACGACACTTTGTGTGATCCACAAATTGTTGTTCTGAGTCTGGGTGTTCTTTTTTCATGCATGTTTGTAAAGTCCCCCGCGACACAGGATATATTCCTAATGCAGGAGTTGCCTTTTTCAAAAATGATAAAAAAAAATTGCATGGGAACACCTAAGGCAAAAGATCAAAACACAAACAAGATAGATCGACTTAGTGAAACAATCAACATCCTTAAATTTCTACACGATCGTGGGAGCCACGCTGGACAGGAACCGGTGGAGACAGATCAGACATAAGGGATTGACCCCAGATGATTTTCTAGATGTCACCTGCCACATTATACAATGTTTCATCATCGTGCCAACGTGGCAGCAGTCCGTTATCTTCAGACACTTAATACCCGCTGTATTAACATGCCTTGAATTAAGGCTTATTTTGAATGCAAAGTTGTTTGACATTGTAAACCTATTTGTAGACCAGCGTGTGCTGAGCTTACAAGAAAGGCATATATTGTATCAAATTAAAGATACGGTGAGGTAACGGATTAAGAATACGGAGTGTCACCACCCCTATTCATCCCGTGGGTGTCGTAAGAGCCGACTAAGGGAGCAAACTACGCAGGATATCAGCACTGCAAAGAGAAGGACAACTTGAAACAAACCCTTTACTCTCCCTCAACTCTGGCCAGCGTGGTATAGTCGCCCAAAACTTCGTTTCTTAGGAGAGGCCTATGTCCAGCAGTGGACTAATAAAGGCTGATGAAGATGATGTTGATATAAGGTATAGGGCTGTTCATACTTTCATTTTAAACTAACATTTTTACATCGCAATGTTTCAGAGAATGTATACGTTATTTGGTCTAGTTATGTTTTGGCTGCTGTAGTAATACTCTAAATTTAGTTAAAAAATAATAACAATATCTTTTTTTATAACTTTACACATCTCACACACGTCCAGCTGATCCTAAACTCGACGGAGCCTGTGCTATGGTAGCCAAACTGCTGATAAACATACTTGCATTTATATTTCTAAATACATTTACACACATCAATTACAGAAAGACACAGCACAAATGCTAAGGCTAAGCAGTTAGGATCAGAAATAGAATCCACTAAGCACAATTCATCTTAACTTCTTCGGTGATATAACCGAGATTGTTCATACGTAGGTAACTAAAGAAATAATTATTGGCATCTTTAATAATAATAATAATCATTTATTTGCATGAATATGAATACAGTGTTGGACAATTTAATTAACAAAGGTTCTTCATATCCTGCCGGGTAGGCGTGCAAAACTTTTCGTCAGAAACTGATACCTACATAACATGCAATACATAAATTAATGACTATCGGTTTTATTGGTCAAATATCAGGCAATTATAATAACAATAATTAAGTGGTCAAATAAAGGTGTTGTTAAAGTATTGATAATATAGAACTTTGAACAAAATATTATTGAACTACCTAATTGTATTTGGGAACACTAAAAGCAAAAGATAGTTCGGTCATGCACCAAGAAAATAGATCGACCAAGTAAAACACTTTTCGTCCTCTAATTTCTAAAAGCTTGTAGAAGACACGCTGGACAGGAATCAGAGATCGATCATCTGATTCAGAAGCATCCCTGATTCTGACCACTATCCTCAGACATGAGAAAGAGAGAGAGATATATTTTTATAAATGTCGCCTGCCACATCATTCAATATTTTATCATCTTGCCAACGTGGCAGCAAACCATTATCTTAAGACGCTTAATACCCACTGAATTAACATACTTTGAATCAAGGTTATTTAACTGCAAAATTGTTTACCTTTATAAACATATTTAAAGTAATTATTTTCATTGTAAGTAAAAAGGAATAAAAAACGCCTAAAACCATACTGAGAGCATAGTTACAGAGATAAAGCGATGATCAAATACCTACATTTTGCAAATATTTAGAAAGGCGCCGGTTGTAATCTAATGGTGATTTTAACATTTTTTTTTTGATTGGGTCTCACACTTGTGCCCAGCTTTGGAGAACTACAGTATTCGTTCTAGCTGAACAAATAACGCAATTCATCTATACAAATAAATAAAATTGGAGTGTCTGTTTGTAATATTAAAATATCCGCTTTTTGCCAAATGCATATGTATGTTTACACGGTACATATACCAAAATAACATTTTTTACAATTTTTGTCTGTCTGTCTGTCTGTTTGTTCCGGGTAATCTCTGGAACGGCTGGACCGATTTAAACGGGACTGTCACTGGCAGATAGCTGATGACATAAGGAGTAACTTAGGCTACTTTTTTTAGACTAGCTTCGCCCCGCGGCGTTGCTCGCGGTTATAACAACAAACGCGGGTAACACCGCGGGTCTCAGCTAGTTATAACATAATTTAAAAACAACATAGGAACCAGTATCTATCAGTTTACACTACGTTCAGCTATTAGCGTTACGATTCAGCACGTTTAGGATGACCGGTGCTCAGCAATTCTTAACGTTGCCTTTCAAGGAGTTAGTGAACTTATTGGAGGTCCAAATTCTTGTAGGGCACTTCAAGGGCGGCAACACACTTGTGTGTCTTAAGGAGTAGGTGCGTATTGGACACCAGTAGTTGTTTAACAGCAAATTACTTGTTTAGTTCCGTGTAGTGACGGATTAAGAATACGGAGTGTCAAAACCGCTATCGATCCCATTGGTTTCTTAAGATCCAACTAAGGGAGCAAAACTATGCAGGACAACAGCACTGCAAAGAAAGGAAAAACTTGAAGCAAATACTATACCAACCCGTCTGGCATACTTAGTATAGTAGGCTACTAGTCAAAAACATCATTTCTAATCAGAGGCCTATGTCCAGCAGTGGACTATTAAAGGCTGTTGATGATGATGATGACTTGTTTGCCCACAGCTGCATAAAAAACGGACAAAAACAAAAAAAAAATACACTGAATGGTGCAAGAGTCAGTTTCTCTCTTTGCCTATTTATAGATAATTATAATACATATAATAATACTTCGAGTTATCGGACACGGGCCATTCACCTTGGCTGTGAACTGCAGAATGCAACACGAGATTATTGCATTATTACGACAACATTGATAACAATAGACTGCTGTATAAAAAGAATGTAAACAGAAAAAATCTTTATTTAAATAAAAATGAAAATCTGAGTTAAATCCATGAAAACTTTTCCTACAAATCTGAAAGTGACCACCAGTGCAATTCGATTAAAACGTCGGGTAATGAAAACAGTGCCGTTTCTTAAAAAAATATATAATATTTTTTAATTTGACCAATATATGTCACAGTGTAGGACATTGTTATTTAAAATAGACCTTAGACCGTAGTTTCGTTAATCCTTAAGTAGTGTAAAACTAAGGTAATGATTTTTATACAGATTTTTACATATGAAGGTATTAAAGAAAATTGAGTTCAAAAACGAATCATCAATTGAGTAACTTGTTAATAGGGAATATGCACGTGACACCAAAATGGACAAAATATTTTTATTTGTAATTTTTATTGCTAAAAAAAGATACCCATACAATTATTTTTGAAATTTATTATAATTTAATAGTGAAATTAAATCATCAAAAATTGGCTTTTTTAAGATTCCCTCGCAAATTTCTAAAACGCAACGCTATTGGTTCAATAAAACGTGACGTCAACCTACACTGTCAAGAGTTTCAACAAGTTGTGTGTATTTGTAATATTTGGTTTCTGGTGATTATTTGTTTCATTTTAAGTTAATAACTAATACGTTTTCAGTGTTAAATTATTAAATTCCCGTGTACAAAGACTCAACACAATGACTGAATATACCTACTTTGTCAGGTGCAGTTTTGATATTATTTTGGCACAAAGGAACGGCACAATATTTATAATAAGTTTTTATTGGCTTTTCCATGGTAATAAGTTAATATATATCACTCACTTTTTTAACTTTCACAAACTTTGTGAACTTCACTCCGTTGTTGACATCGAATTCTTCTGAAAGTGTAATGACGTCACAAAAAAAGCGCGCCAAAATGGACGTGTTCAAATTGCCCCAAAATGATAGTGATATTAATATTTTTTTTTTGCTTAACGGTTTATATTTCGGATGGGTTATATGTATTTTTGGTAATGTAATAACGAGTAGAATCGTTTAAAAAAATTAAAAAAATGCATGCATATTCCCTATTCATACTGGCTAGTTCGCGTAGAAAATGAATTAAAACTGCCAAAAGCCAAAAAGAGAGATTATCCGTTCCACCTTTGTATACACTTACATACATATATCTATACTAACAATATTAAAAAATCTGAAGAGTTTGTTTGTTTGGTTGAACGCGATAATCTCAGACACTCCTGATTCTAATTGAAAAATTGATATACGAATACTAATATTAGAAGAAAAATACGAATATTGCCAGGGTGGTATAAAACGAGGGCGTTCGCCGTAACATGCTTCTTTCGGGCGTCGTCGTTCGGGGTGGCAACATCGTTCAAGAACCAGGAATCGTATTAGTTTTAAGCTATTGCATAGCTTCTATCGAGGGCCTTGAGCGCGGGGACCGAATCCAGAAATTCCGTAACGAAAAAAAACCTCACGCTAAAAACAAAACAAAAACAGTACCAAAATCAAATGCTCAACGTCAAAGGAAATTTCGTCAACATAATGCAGAAAAATCTTACATGGATATGTAATTTGATTTAATAATAATATTTTTTATTTATTTATTTAAAAACAAATTGTAATATTGAAATAAAAATATTGAAGCATTCAATATTTTTATTTATTTATTTAAAAACAAATTGTAATATTGAAATAAAAATATTGAAGCATTCAATATTTTTATTTAATAAAAGAAAAAAAATTGTTTTCTTATCGGTCACCACGCTCAAAAAGTGTAACTTGAAATAATATCAAAGAAAAAGAAATACTGCATAAATAAAATAAATAAATAATTATAATTGCATATGTTGATACAAAATGCTATGCAATAGCTTTACCGCGGCAGTCCCCGAGTGCCACACGTCTTTTTTTTATTGGAACGAAGTTCCTTATCGCGCGTTGTGAAAGGGGGCTGGACGGAAAAAATTCGTACGAAAATTTGGAACGACACTTTTTTATTAATATAAATTGACGTCTAACTGTGGATACCATACATTAAATTTGCTTTAACGTTCGCCAACGTCCATACCATGTTGAATACACCGGTTCTCGTCCGATCACCGAAGTTAAGCAACATCGGGCGTGGTTAGTAAATAGATAGGAAATCATTTCGCAAGGAGATTTTACCAATGTATAAATTGTTTTAATTGTTTTTAATATGTAGGTAATAGCCGCTTTCATATATGGCGTTGTAATTAAAATCGTGTCAAATCAGTTTTACTCGATCGTCACAACTTCGTTCCTATCGGGTGTCCCACGACACCACACGGCTTTTTTAATTATTTTTTTGTTATAATTGTGCTAATATTGTCGGTGAGTCGTAAGCAATCTATTGGATTTGGTTTGTTCCTTGTACTTGCTAAATTATTTATCGTTCGAACTGTATACGAGTTACGTTGTGTGACGTGTTGTAGTCTTTTTTTTCATCTCCGATTCTGACTCCTAACACTATACTATATTTACAATTCCAAAGTCTAATATATAAAATTCTCGATTCTCGAAACGGCTGGACCGATTTTTATGAAATTTTGTGTGCATATCGGGTAGGTCTAGAATGAGTCAACGTCTATTTTTCATACCCCTAAATGACCCACCCCTAAATACTTTTTTTTTATTTTTTTGTCAATTTATTGTATTTTTATTTTATTATATACTTATATATACATATATTATATTTATAACTTTGGCATTGTTCAGTACAAGCAAAAGAAAGTCAAAGAGTGGGGATTTAAAAAAAATGGAATTTGTGATCATAAAGATAGTGTAGAGTTTTTGATTTTAAAGAACCTAGAATGTGTTAGTTAATATTAGGGTCGTCTTATATAGGTATCATTATATAGTTTAATTATATACTATTTTTTGCACATGAACTAATGGTACTTACTATAAACCTTAGTGGTTTACAGTACCAAAAACCAAAAATGTTCATGCGTCCATGTGCTGCTGTAGCCACTAACCATCAAGTGAGACATCTCCACGTTTATCATAGCCCCATAGACCAGCATGTGCTGAGGTTATAAGAAAAGTATGTATTGGATCCAATTGATATTAGGTATGAGGCTTTCCATACTTTGAATTTGAACATTTTACATCATAATATTCAAGATAATACTTTATTTTGTTATTGGCTGCTGTAGTTATACTTTGAATTTACTTACATTCACTTGCTTTAAGTCATCCGTCCATCGTGCCGTATTTTTTATTATTTATACTAAACTATATTTTCGCCAATTACAGAACATCTTTAAATGTATCTCTTCTAAATCATCCACATAAAATCGGTCTTGCACCGACTTAATCTTAACGGGTAAATAAAAATAAAACGCTACATTATATTATTGTTTTCTTAAAATATGCTTTATTCACATATTATTTAGTATTTTTATTTTAAAGCTTTACTTTTGCTGCTTTAAAAATAGCATCTGAATTTTATCAACAGCCAAACCTTTAGTTTCGGGTAAATAAAATAGACTAAACAAGAAAACTGCAAATGACATGAAACAGAAGATGTAGAAAATAGGTCCAAGGCCCAGGAACTCTACTATTGGAGGGAAGACACTGAGGGCGATGAAGAAGAAGGGCCACACGAAGGAGTAGCAAAAAGTGTTGCAGAGGCTTCCAACCTGTTAATCAAAGACTTTAATTAAGCTGCTGGAATGTCAAATAAGTACTTACTCTGTTACCGGTTTAAAAATGTTTCAAGATACACTTGGGATAGAAGATACACTCATAAGGAATACTGCTAAAAGAAAGTGTTAAGTAGAACGCCATTTTTTAACTTTTAGTTTTAAAACAAAAACCTATGTGCAGACATATTATACTCTCATTACTCAATTAATTATTTGCCATGTACTCTTACAAAGTAATACGTACCAACCAACTTAAGGCTTGCAGAAAAAGACTAATACAAATAATATATGTGTGTGCATATGTGTGTGTGTGTGTGTGTATGAGAGAGTATGGAATATGTGTGGGTGGGTGAAACTGTAATGGGTGAGTGGTGTGGGTAGCTTAATGATCTTCTCTTGATTTGGTTTATATAGTATAGTTGCATTTTTATTTATTTCTTTTTTCTACTTATACGCTATCGTGGAACATTAGGAGGAGCGGAGTCTCCTAACACAGGCTTCTCATTGCCTAACAGGATGAATGAATGAATTAGATTGTAAGATGTTTAAAAAATTAATAAAGATATTATTATCATTATTATGTCTGAACATAGCTTAAGTCACATAGAAACTGAAATTCAACCTTAACTCAATAAATATCTAGGTGGTTTGTAGTAGTAGTATTTGATATTTTAATTACTTAATTATATTAATTCTAAAATATTATCTAGTGGTCGAATGAACTAACCTCTGGCAGGAATACTTCGGATGCTAGTACAAATGGTATTGTAGCAGGCCCAGCAGTGTACATAAAAGCATACACATTTATAAGCACTACAGTGAACCAGTTGGGGGCAAAGTGCAACTGCAGTTGAAGACCCAATAATCCCGTGCAAATTCCTGTACTAGCTGTTGTGACCATTAAGATGGCCTGTTGATAGAAAACTGAAGATAAGTATACCAGCGTAAGAAGAGAAGTCTGGTATCTGAAATTGTCTGATTAAATTTTGGAGTATTCTTTCATATAGATGTAATATCATTTGCAATGGTCATAAATATCGTGAGTGTATATTTTCAGAGATCTATAAACATATATAAAGAAAGAAAAAAAGACACCACTAAGTTTATAACGAACGAAAACTGTTTGTCGTTGAACGTGTTTTTCGGTGATCCTAATAAAAAGTAACCTATGTTACTTGCTGACAATATAGCTTTGCATTGGTGAAAGAATTTTGAAAATTGGTTTAATGGTTTAGGCGTGAAAGTGTAACAAACAAACTCACTTATACATTTAGAATATAAGTAATAAATAGTTCACATTATCATTTAATTATAAATTTTCCATTTAGTTCAATCACAAAATATGTAATATATTAAAAATAAAAATAAATGTTTTCTTTATTTAATATCACAATAGATACTGTCATTGAGTACGAAAAATAATTGGTAATCAATAGACAAAAGCTGCAGAACTAATGTTCTTAAAATCTAATTCTACTTTATGTATTTTCATTCAATACATGCCGTTTATGTATCTTACTAATATACGTACACAGTTTTCTCACCTTTCTGCCAAGTCTATCTATCACGACCATGTTAACTAAACTGGAAATGAAGGAATTAATCGCAGCAAAAATGGCACACTGATTGGCAGACATAGATGGCGCCGCCTCAGCAAACAGCGGTTCAGTATAAACTTGTAAGATGATGCCCCCAGTTAAGATCGTCATTGCTATCATAGTTAGAAGAATCACAAGGATCCTCTTTGATGACTTTGATCTCACTGGAGAATGAGAAGTAGAAGATTATACACCATTTAAAAAGAAGTACCTTCCATAAGAAAGGAGAAGATGAAAATAAGTAGTAATAGCTTAGAAAATTGAAATCACAATTTTTTATTTTTCTTTACGCGATGAATTAATATAACCGATTTCTAGTGTACAAATCTATCATATTATTGAGATCTACTAAGAAGTGTACTTTTACTGAAATGTTTATATGTAATTTTTTTTATTACGAGTATTCAGTAAAGGGGGGTACTTATTTTAACTTTTACCCTTTCTAAATTTCATTTCTTTATTTTACTTCTATAAAAAATAAAATAACGAAAATGTGAAAAGGTTCATAGGTTATTATTATTTATTTATTTTATTTACTTTTGAAGAAGGCTTACAGACTAATAAATTTATGGTTAAAACAAAAGTGTTTTCATGTCGCTAACAACAAGCCTCCATAGATAGGTAACAATACGATACTGGTCTAAGTGCCAGGTCATATGTTACGTGATACGATATGCGATCACATTTAGGTCATATATATGATCACATACAGACACACATTCTCGTACAAATACAAACAAAAACATATATACCTATTAATTTAAAATATTTTGGGTAATAAGGTAAAACTTACATAAAAACCGCCAAGCAGATATGTTTTCCTCTTTCTTTTTCACTTCGGTTTTCTCTATCAAACTGTCTGCTGTTTTGAGATCTGTAACAAATTAAATTGGAAAATAACCAAAATAATCAGATAAAATTAACGATAAGTATATACACTGATGCTGAGCATTTACAAAATTAAAAAACTAAAGCTTAATAGGTTATGGGATCAAAACATACAAAATTTAGTGTGGGAAGTACAAAAATAAATTTAAAAAAAAAACAAGAACATAGTGCTAATTGCTAGCTACATAATTTAATATTTTTTTTTTTTTAATTTTCACACACCTAATTCCTGCCCTAACTCTTTTTCTTGAAGCAACGTCTCCAATTTTGGATCCATAGTATTTCTGATCTTGTCTACCTCCGCCTTCACTTGATCTGAATTGACATCTAAACGTCTATAGAATGCTATTGATTTTGCTGCTTCCTGAAAAGAAAATATTGATGGTAAATAAATTCTGGTAATTTAACATACTGTTAAAAGCTTAAATTTATTAGGTTATTTTTAACTAATATTTATTGGATTAAAAGTGCGAACAGTTACTACTTGTTATATTTACTTTAGGGTTTATTATTTACACTAACGAAAAAGCATAACGAAAAGGCAGCAACACCTGTATTATATATCTCCGAAACACCTGTCGTTACGACCAGGGCCTTAATTTTGCTATTTTATGTTAACGCCAAGCCACTGTCATTCCATTGACACGCTATTGCGATGCCATTGAGACGCCATTGACATCGGTCAAAATATCAGTATTCTACTAACATCAATTCAGTGTCAATAGACTGTGGATATAGTAATATAGGTCATCAATTGTGATATCAACAACATTGCCATACCTGGCAAATTAAATATATAATTTTCTTACAAATTTAAAATGAACCATTTACCAAACTATTACAAAAACATCGACGACATTTGTATAAGTGGCAGTTCCGTGACAAGTCATCGGGAGGCTGTTGGTCTTACATAGTTAGTAGAATACGAAAAATGTATAAAACTATTGAGACGACATTCTATCGACAGTCTATTGATACAATTTTAGAATAGCAGAATTGAGGCCCAGGTTGCACTGGCAGTGATCAGTGATCACACTTGAGTGCGCCTGTGACCGTGGCTCGTGCAAGCTGGCCTATTTTTGTTCGTAAGTAATTATTATTTTATCTCATCATGAAGCATGAAATTCAATATAACTCAAGTGTAATATTTCATGAACTATTTAACTTATCACTAACTAAATATGAAAATCAAATGAAAAACCCGACGAAGTATTTTCTACACAATTAAAGATTATACCAAACAACGAGTGCTACAATTTTCTATTGCGAGTATACCACAATATTTCTTGTTCATAAAAAAACATATTTTGTCATTTGATATAGCCTAAATCTTTTTTCAATCTATTTTTTCCGAGTGAGCGAGGTTACCGGAGCCGAAATTCCCCCCTCCCGCTGACTTGAGCGGGAGGGACTCCAATATCAGCGACGCACTTGGGACTTTTGAGTTGCAGGTGTCCATGGGCAGCGGTAGTTGCTTACCATCAGGTGACCTGTCTGCTCGTTTGCCCCTTTATACCATAAAAAAATACTTTGCATTTAAATGTCAAATTTCAAAATTTGGTCAATTGTGAGAACCGTTTGAGGCATATTGGTTGTTGAAAAGCTATCTAAAACAGACAATAGTATTACCTCCTCTCTGCCGACCAAAACCAAGAATACGGGGGAATCCCGTATTAATGAAAGCAGCATTATCGTCAATACCGATACTGATAAATTAATTATTATCATCGTCATATAGTCGAACTGACCACCCATTATATTTGCTAATAAAAGACCTGAAAAAAACAATGTCAGGTTATTTACTGTTCTTGGATTTCAAAATTCGCATTACATTATAAGTCTGGATACCTCCTGTAAGGTAATTTAGGAAAAGATTGCCGAGACTTCAGGTTGCAAAGCTTTGATTGTATTTTGAATAATAAAACGAAAATTATACTAACCAGTCATGTAAGCTGATGATGAAATAGAAGTTAATCCACCTCTTATTGAAACATGTGCTATCTCTGACATAAACATTGTTGAAATATTTTGACCGGCAATTCCAGTACCTGCTATGGTGACCGCTATTAGAATCAGCGTGATATTGTTCGTTAAGGATATTATCAACCATGCAACCTGTACAGTAAAATAATATTTTCAAGCGTTTGTTTTTGTAAAGCTTTTTGCATCATGGCCGCATAGCTAAGAAAATATATTTTCTTGAAACTTCTTGTAATAATCATGCGATCAATAAGGCACATATTTAGGAAGCAGAAGAAATAAAAACTGAATCTGCAAAAGAAAAGCCTAAAAGCAGTCTTGGACCGAATTATTTGGGCTCAATTCAACTCGGAAAAAGGAGCTCGGAAGATCTCCATTGTAATACAATAAAAGATACCAAAGACAAATTCTGGAACGCTCTCAACGCAACCATAAAGTTAATTAAAAAGCAAGATATAGTGAGACGTATAACTAAAATTAAAAAGCAAGATATAGAGAGACCGTAACGGGAGACCTAAATGCAAAACACATATTGCAAACGACACATGGGGACACAGATGTAGACAGCGACCACTACTTCGTAGTTGCCGAACATCGACTCAAAAACTCTTCGATTTGATGTCGCCATACTGATCGAGCCTGACTAGGTACAAGTTTGTCCCGCGAAGACTGGATGTTACAACACTTATGGCAGTCTGACGGACGGAATGGCTAAGGCTATCTAGTCTTTAAAAAGTGGCATAGCCTTCTGAGTCACACGCACCGCGATATCCTTTAAGCTTGTTTTGTATTGTTAGGTGGTCATTAACGTATATTCTGTGGTTTTCTGGTAGACCAATCTGGGCTGTAGTTAGCGCAGTAGCTTTATTTGTTAGCCTATCTGCTGAGATGAAGTCTTCCTTAATATAACGACTGCAAAAACTTAATATTATTGGCTTACTATGGCTTTTCTCACGTGTTGGTACTCGTATCAGAAAATTTATTTGTGTTTTCGAAATCGAATAGCCAATCCTGTTACCAATTTGGTTGACTATTTCGAACAAGTTTTCGTGGTTTTTCTGGGGTACACCTTTTATTTCCACATTGTTGCTCCTGCTCCACTGATCCTTGGCATGTGATTCCTGCTCCAGTTTGTCAAGGCGATAGTGAATGCTGGTGACCTGCTTCTGTACGCTCTCTGCTTGTTTAAGACGCATCTCGATGTCTTTGAGTTTAGAGTTAAACTCCTTCAGCTCCTTATGCGTTTGGCTCAGAGATGATTTAAGGTCAGAAAATTCCGTCCGCAATACCATGATCTCATCTCTTAAGCTTTCAAGAGGTGCTAGCTTCTCGGAGATGGCTCTAATCTCTTTTAGCATCTCTGACTCGATCCTGGGAGATAATGGAGGTTGACCTGCACTGGATGTTTTGCATTTGCCGCAACGCCAGGAGTGTTTCCTATCTCCCAACTTTCTGTAACCATTCTCTGTTATACCTGCGCAATGGAAGTGTAGCTCGTGCTTGCACACTGAGCAACAAACACCGTCTGTTATTGGTTCATCACAAGCCGCGCAGTGCTTCATGGTAAAAAATTAATAAATAAAGACAGATAGTAAACTTTGGCAGTGAACTTTGAGAAACACTGGAAAAATTGGTACACGCTTTAGAAACGACTATATAGCTCGGGGTCAACGACCTAACTGTTAAAAATTAGACGACCTATCATGGAAGCGTCGTGTCGCACAAGTTCGGCCCCTGTGTCAGTCACGAACACTGACTCGGATGATTAAAATCAAGTCATTCGGGTCCAAAGTCAAATCCGTTGTCTTCGCCGACTACAATGAATAACTGTTGGAACGCTGCCATAAATCTTCTATTGCACATCAGATAAAGCGCCGCAAGTGGGACTGGATTGGCCATACTCTGTGTAGCTAAATAGAAACTGGATTAGAACCAGGAAGAAACACGTAAGCGTAGCCGGGTGGTTAAGTACTTTCTTGAGAACCTACTTAATTATATTCATGTGTAATAGGACTTAAGATACAATATATATTTAAACAGTTTTTTTTTCATGTAGTACCATGTACCATATAGTAGTAAAGGAAAGATGTTATATGTATTAAACATAAATAAAATTAATTAAATAATGAGCTACGTCTGCCAACAAAATCTCCCGCAGTTTGGCAGTGCAGTGGAGTGAGGTCAAATGTGAAGCTTAGGCTGGAAGATTACTGTGGATGCCAACTGCTTCATCTCGGGGACACAGAGTATTAAGTCCAGTAAGTCAAAAAAATAGATACTTACAAGGTACGGTACACCAAATAGCATGGACCCATATTTTCTTCCAAAAGTGCTAAAGATCCAGCCACAGACGGGCATGCCTATAAATCCGCCCAAATTAGGCAAACTACCCAGCAGTGAGACCTGCAATGTGGATATGGGAGCGCTCAGCACGGTTTCGTTGGATACAAAGTTGGCTAAATTGTATGATGGCCATGCGTAAACGAAACCAGTTTGCAGCGCCAGTAAACCAACTGAAATAATATAGTACAATTAGAGCTATGTGGACAATCACTTATTTAATTGGTTTATTGAAGGTTGAATTGTTATAAAAACTATTATCGATACTTTGTTTTTTCCGAAATAAAAACCTTATTATTATTTTATTCGAAGACCTGTTCACAAATTACAAGACATTTTTCAGAATGTTTCCTGAATAAGGTCATGATTGTTTTTCAGCTGATTTGCAGTTTATTACATTTTAGTTAGTCTGATTTGATTACATGAATTAAAAAATTTGTACCGTTTTACTATGTTTTCTTAATTTATATTTTTTAAAGACCACTCCCGCATTACGAATATATCCTGTGTCGCGGGGGACTTTACAAACATACATGAAACATACACAAAGAACACCCAGACTCAGGACAACAATTTGTGGATCACACAAAGTCTCATCCCGTATGGGGATCGGACCCAAAACACTCGTGCGACAAACACCCAAAACAAGCATCGTGGCGACCACTTAAACCACTACGCCATCCGTGAAGTCATTATCAACTTTACTTTTATTTGAACTATAGGTAAGTTAAAAAAGTAACATTCATGTTACTTTCCTGTCCCTTTTCGAAGGGAAACAAATTTAGGAATTACTTACTCGCTAAAGCAGACAAACTTTGCACAATGGCTTCTGAAGCTTTAAGCCTATTCTCATTCATATTGAAGTTTACTAAATATTTTTTTAAATATAATTAAAATACAATAAATTTGCACACACTTTTACCGCACTGTGACAAATGATATTTTAAAACCTTACTTAGTTACTTTATTGGTGAGACTGTCGTTTTGTCATCTCTTTGTTTGATCTTTATGGGCGCAAATAGTAAGAGATAACTTCGTTTATCTCATCAACGATTTATTATTTTTAAATATTGTGCACCTGATTCATATACTGTTAAAATGACAGTGACGACACAACCTTAATAATTGGTAAATAATTAGCTTCGAAAATTGTAGTCCAACTCTCTAATCATTCTTTCACTAGAGGCTCTCTTTTTAATCTCTTTCTTCTTCTTAGAGTCAACTATTATGATGTAAACCCGATCTTTTAAATGTATGGCAAAACGGTGCTATCATCCGGGATGATAACTCTGGAAAGTTAATAATAATATACTACCGGAAGGAAAAGAATTACATATTAACAATCAAACACATCCTTAAATGCTCCATGGCCTCAAGAACTTGAGAGACCAGACTACAAGAGAGGAGATGGAGCCTGGGTAAATAATTAGAGTTAAAAAAAGCCAAGACCATAATTCGATAACTATTTTATGATATGTCTGTATTTTCGCCGCATGTCCCACCGAATTCACTGACATGTCTGTTAACACCTAGAATGCTTAATGCATACACAAACTTTTACGTTGGTATTTTTAAAGTTCAATTCACGAAATATTCAGAACTGGTTATTTTCTCAAAAATGATTGGGGTTTTATCACTGTGCTCTCTAAATATGCACACTTGATAAATCTACACACGAAGTTTCATCATATCGATGTATAAAAAATACTTTAGGCAAGAGTTTTCATGACCAGGCTCAAAGCTGAAAGATCTAGTATGTATAAAATTAAAACTTGGATGCCACTAGGATTAGTCCTGCGGCGGACGAGATGGAGGTTGCAGAAATAATCATTACCCTTCGTAGTGAATGTGCTCCAGGATGGGACAGAATACCTAGCACCCTATTAAAAAAACACATTGCATTGCTTGTTCCGCCACTAACTTATATTTGCAATCTTACGCTACATACTAAACAATTCCCCAAGGCTTTTAAAAAATCTATCATCCACCCTATCTTTAAGAATGTGGACAGAAGCAGTGTCAGCAACAATAGACCTATAGCAGTATTGCCAACCCTATCCAAGGTACTAGAACGGATTATGAACCGCAGACTTGTCGACTACCTGACCAAGAATTAATATCCTTTCACCGTCTCGATATGGCTTCAGATCTGGCAGGCCAACGTCTGATGCGGTTCATGAACTTACAAATTATATTATCACCAAACCTAAATAGAAGCCAAAAGGTCACAGGAAAATGGAACGCCTTGGAATTAGAGGTACTCCACTTAGGCTGTTCGAAGACCACCTTAGTGAGCGAACCCAGTGCGTCAGGGTTGATGATTTCATCAACGACGAGCGGCTGGTCACCTACGGAGTGACTCAAGGTAGCGTGATTGGCCCGACTCTCTTCCTAATCTACATAAACGACCTGGGTCTCCTCACGTTACCAGATGGTAAAGTAATTACTTTCGCAGATGACACTACCCTCCTATACAAAGCTGACACATAGAGTGACCCCTATAAATACGCTCAATTTGATTTTAATGTCGTAAGCGAGTGGTTGCGAAATAATGTACTTACCCTAAACGCGACCCAAACACAATATGTCACTTTTTCAATAACACATAAGAACGCATCGAACTTACCAATACCACACTCGATCATAGCCCACTCGTGTCCTAAGCCTAACAATGTTACGTGGTCTTGCGTGCACCTCCAGAAACCAAGGCGGTGAAATATCTTGGAGTAATAATGGACAGTCGCCTTCGTTTCCATGATAACATATTTCAGCTCTCAGTGGCAGGATGTGCTAATGGATGAACTAATCTACGTCTTCAAGAACCTAAGACAAGTGGCTGATGATAAGTTAAGGCGTTCGGTTTATTTTGCCCTTGCTGAATCGCTATTGACATACTGCATCACATCCTGGGGTGGTGCTCCAAGGAGCATTCTTCTAGAGCTAGAAAGAGCCCAAAGGGCAGTACTAAAGGTTGCTTTGTCATTGCCGTTCAAATATCCTACTTCAGACAGTTAGACAGTTGTTTACTATGCAGATAATCCTAATGCAGCACAGTATACTAGAATATGTATCTTCTTTGTCCCGTGGCAAAAGGCGATACAATCCCGTAAATATAAGTAAAGTCCGACTTAACACCGTGTACTCAAAAGACTACTTTTGCTACTTAGGACCTTATACAGATACACAGATACAGATACTTATACAACAAAATCAATAATATCTTGTCAATTTATGAACTGCAAAAGATAAAATGTAAAATCACATTAAGTAACTGCTTGTCTCTCAGATCCAACTTACGTGGACACTGAAAAGATGCTTGCTCTCCTACACACTCTATTATAAGCACGCACGTGCATGGCCATGGGATGCATAGCTGATGGGTAGTTCAGTTGCAAGCGCACTGCCAGCCGAGGTACTTGCGGACCCCTCGGTTGGGCACAAATTTACGCTTGCCTGAATATTGGAGGATCTCTGCCCGGGTGGACCTTTTAAGTTTCTCCCCCACTCTTGGTTTTTTCTAAATATGGAATTATTAAATAAAACAACAAAAAGGAAGGAAAGGTGGCAAAGGAGAACAAATAAGAGACAAGAAAAGCGGATGACGTCTCGTCTAACGAGGAGGAAGTTTTGCTTGGGACGCCTATCTCGGTAGGGCTCCCAGAAGTCAATTTGGTGGCTGGGAGCCGAAGAATATCGGAACGGTTACGTTCCAGGTCCGCCATTTCGTCGGACGGAGGTAACTCCAGTACGACGATGGACGCATTGGAGTCGATGGAGATGGAGCTCTGCGATAGTAGGAAACGCGGACGCTCCAGGGACGAAGAGAGTGATACGTCCCAGGAGATGCTGCCTCCCAAAGTGGGTAGTAGATGGTAGTACCTGACCTTGGCCCCGTCAGGCTCTGTCTTCTCTGGTCCGAGCGGAGGGCGATAGCGCAGCGGAAGAGGAGATTGCGTATCTCTTACAGAAGATCCGGGAGCCGGTAGAAATTAGTTCCGTTCCTCTAACAAACGTGGCAAACGTGGCAGTGGCCATAATACAAAATAACCAAATATAATGTAAATTAATTATAATAAAACATGAGCATATACATTACATTACAATATTAACTATATATAATATATATTGGTATATATATACGGACATACATACATACATATATTAATCTGTTAAAAGCTGATGATGATGAAGAAGTATATTAAGAACGAATACGCATGATGCTTTTTTAAATCTCTGTCGCCCGAGTTTTAGGTCGGTAGTGGAAAATTAGCTTTAGTTGACGACATAACATATGGAACTTGTTAAATGTTCGGTCTGTGATGTGGACTTTTGATGATAATAAGTGGCTTTATCATATATTTACTTATTTTACGATACCTTAAAGATATACTAATAAAACTCTATCTTTAAGTAAACAGAATCCCGGTTTACTCTCTTTAATATACTGCTTGTTATTTTTGACGAGCCTGTAGGTAGAGTGGTTGGCGGTATTGACTACTAAGCTAGAGGTTCTGGGTTCGACCCCCATCCAGGACAAATAATTGTATGATGAGCACGCTTGGGTGTAATTTAGCTATAAAATGTACGATGTAGAAATAGTTAAGATACCACAAGCTCTTAGAAGTCGACCATTAGAAGTATGAAGTTGTTTTTATTATTATTTTCAATTTCTTGTTTTGGACAAGAAATTCAGATAACGAGCATTGAATTATTCCTGATCCTTGTATGATTAGTGCACGTAGGCTCTGAAAGACATTCTCTCTAAACCCTGAGTATGTTCTAAAAGAGTGAAGTAAAAAGAGCCTCTGTGGCGAAGGTGTATGAAACGTGTTAAGAATGCATGGTTCAAGCAATTATGTAAGGATCTTCATTCTCTATTAATTCTATTTCTGTTAGACAGGAATAAGACCTAGAGAGATAATTTAGAACATATGATTATATCTGTATACTTATCATGTCGAACATCAACTCAGTAATCAATGAATTTTACGAGTTAATAGATCATCTAATATATATTAACATCTAATATTATTATATATATATTTCTGATAATATATATTTATAATTTCAGAGCCAAATTCTAACTGTCTTGGGAGTATTACCCTGTTGACAGAATTATGTGTCTTATAATATGGTATGTGGAGTGGCTATCAGTCAGACTTTTGTTGAATCAAATAAATATATTATCGCAATGATAACATACATTAAAGATGATATTTGAAAAAAAAAAACTAATTTCTGGTTTAACCCTGCGTTACGAAAAAGCTATGTGATAATTGCTGCCTAATATTTGTGCTGATATTAGTATGACTTTTTTGTTTTATGGAAGAGAGGTAACCGAGCAGACAGGTCACCGCCTACCGCCGCCCATGAACGCCCGCAACTTAGGAGTCACAAGCGCGTTGCCGGTCTTTGAGGAAGGAGACGCTCTTTTCTTGAAGGTTTGAAGGTCGTATCTGTCCAATATCTGTCCGAAAATACCCAGGACGATTACTGACCTCATGAACTCTGATGCTGAAAGCCTCAAAGTGATATATATTTGGCTTCATACTATGTACGAAGAACGATAACAATCTCAAGACGGATTGACATCAGGTAGGCCATTAAAGAAAAAGCTAAAGCCTGAGAAAGAGGTTGTCAATTAATCAAGGAGAATGGAATAAGAAAACTCTTTGCACGATCCCAAATTTACTTGGTAAAAGGGTAAGAAGATGCTGATGATGGTGATGATACTGGAGTATCGATAATAGGTTAAGTGGGATGGCTCAAATTATCTATTTTGAATTATGCAATAGATTGGATCGTGGTTTGAGTACAGTGAATCAACAGCTGTTGAAATACAAATAAGATAATGGTACAGTGAAGAATTTAAAAATGATTCGCGAGTATTACGAAGATACGGCAGTTATGAGTAAGGATGAAGTAAAATAAACTTTAGCTATTATCTTTCATGCGCTTACTTTAGAATTAACATCATGATTTACCTTTTCTCGTTTCACGTTTTACTTTTAAATAACTTTTATTGGTCGTTTCGACAATGAAGAACATTTTTTTGTTTGTTTTAAAGTTGGTTGTTTTTTTTTTAACGTGTGGAAATCCCCTCAGACCGTCACCCCACCGGGGTTTGCGGCGGGGTGGTGTGTCGGACTCGGACCGACTAAAACCACACGGTGTGCCACTCTGCGCCTGTAATAGGAGGGATCCGGGAACAGCTGTTATTAAGACATCCGGATATTAAAGGTAGCCTTAACCTAGCCTTATGATGTCAGTTGTATTGAGAATAACGTAGGATTTTTAGTGCGCTGTTGCTTTAAAAACTGTGAAAAAAACATCACAATTATTGGCCTTGTATGTATAATTATGGACTTATCTCAAGAAATTATGTAGGGTCAAGTGGGGTAAATGCGAGTACCACAACTAGATTGACACATTCCGCTTTATGTCATTTTGTGGTCTTTTACAATTCACAAATAATTTTTACTGTGAATATTAATCATGTTTAAGGCTTTTGTTTGAAGTAATTACTAACATTAAATTATCGATGACTACATGTTAATAATTAAATTTATTTACTCTGACGCAACTATCGCATTTGCCCCGTGTAAAGGGGTAAATGTAAAAATGACATTTAAATTCCTAATAGTGTGGATAGTTACTGATCTGGGGTAATAGCAATAAAATACGCAAATTGAAATATACTTTGGTTTTTATTTCAACGAGATCGGTAAAAATCTTACAGAGATATGAACTTTTTCTTACAAACTTATTTTTAATTCTGAGATCAATCAATATCAATACTATCAAATTAGTTAGGATATAATCATATTTCTAAATTTGTAATCAAAATATATTATGCCGCGCTTGGTTATTTCAGGATTAGGTAATATTTTGACGATACAATCAGCAGTAACCTCATCAGTATCTTTTATTAAAGGCCATGCAAAGGTTGCGCCCTTACGTCGTACAAATTTTACCTCCCAACGACTGCCTACTTTTTTTTGCACAACACCCACGTAATACTTAAGTCCCTTTTTTAAGGCATATTTTACAATTACCCATGTTTTAATATCAATACTTTGCGATTTTGCTTCTTCCGCCACATTTTCTTTATCTTCTTCCCCAGTTGGGCTATCAATTTCAGAGATACTTTTTTCGTTATTACTTTCCTGATTAGACTCGTTTTCTTCTTCCATCCACATACTTTCATCTGAATTTGCATATGTTACTTCGTCTTCCAAACCTGAATCAGTACTACTACTATCACTATCTAAACACTTGATCTTTTTCTTGCGCTTTTCGTTCGTTTTTATTTTTTTATTATCTTCGATCGTTATTTCATTTTCTGAACCTGCATCAGTTATACTACTTTCGTCAAAATTTCGAGTCACTTTCTTCCCCTTTCCTTTCTTGCTTGGTTTTCTATTCAATCCTGTTTGTTTTTTGTTTGTTTTAATAGTTTCTTTGTTTCTTAACTCGGTAAGCATTTCAGCAGACGTAATTACTTCTGCACCTGAGGCAACTTTTCGTTTTCTTTGTTTATTTGGCGGATGTTTTTGCTGAATGGTTGCAAGAATCATCTATTCTAATGATGTTACTGTTAGATTTTGGACTTCAGAAGTTAATTTCTCTTTAGCATCTAATGGTGGTGATGTAAAATCTGGTTGGTTTTCCAAGTTGGTAGTTATAGGAGTGACCTCTTCAAAACCTGATGAACTTAAAATTGATGGGGACGGGGCATTGACATTATGTTCTGCATATTCAACATCTTCTACAAATGCTATATTATCCTGAGCAGTATCTTGAGTTTCTTTTTGGTGTTTTTCCCAGCGCTCTAAAGACTCTTTTGAAAAATTTCCCTTAGGGATAACGTCAGAATTAAATGGGTATATCCCTGATTTACTAAAACCACTCATGATGACATCTTCACTAACTATGAGCCAAGTTTCTCCTAAAAATTGTGAGAACAGCGATTTAGGAAGCCTTTGTCCAATGTTCTGTCGCTGCCAAGAGGCTACAGTTTGGTCCCATTTCTGTTTAAAGCTTTTGAAAACAGATACGTCTAATGGCTGCAACAAGTCACTTGTGTGTGCAGGCAATTTGATAATGGTTATCTCCTTGGCCAATGCAAGTTCAACTAGTTTGAGAGAAACATGCGTGGAGTGACCATCATATATGACCAAAACGGGTCGTTCAGGACCCAAAGCAGGTATAAGGACTTTCTCAAAATAGTTTGTGAATATTTCTGTTTCCATCCAACCATTTGGAGAGGCCGCATATGCAGTACCGGGATATTCTTTCTCGGGTGGTGCCCTCCATTGATCCCATATGTTTTTGGCTTTAAATATGATTAGAGGCGGCGCTCGTTTACCAGCAGCATTAGCAGCCAATACAAATGTTGTATTTTCTCGTCCAGAGGTACTTATAACTCTGGACGAGCTTTCGCCTTTTTCGCCGACAACTCTGGAATTTGTTGGATCTAGACTTAAACTGCTTTCGCCTAAATTCCAGATCTGTTGAGGTTTGCTTTCTATGTTCAGCTCAACCAAAGTTTTTTTCAAAAGACTGAAATACCCATAAATGATGAATGGGTCTGTGGCGGCCTTTTTTCTAGCATATTCCAACTGTTCTGGCTTTCGAATTGATAAATTATGTCGTCTTTTGAAACCGAGGAACCAATCTTCCCCTGGTATGTCATCTTTAAACGGTGTTTTAATTTTATTGACTCTAACGAATTGACCAACTAAGTCTAAAATTTCTTTGCGACTAAGACCAAAGCCCCATTTAGCAAGCGTTTTTATAGAAGTGGCCAAAACATTTTCAACATGTTCTGAAAGTGCCGTTCTGCGGCCTTTAGTTTTTTTAATTGCACCTCTTGTTCCTTTCACTCGGGAATATAATGTCGCAAATGGAATACCGTAAATAACAGAAGCTTTGTGAGTAGTGAGTACACCAGACATTATATCATTAAGAGCAATGTTTAGTTTTTCGTCGGTATATTTGGGTCCTGTACCCTTATTTTTAATATAATTTCGCACCATCTGGAACAAAAAATTACATTTACCCCGAGGTATGTTTATACATTTGCCCCAAGATCTTAATTCTACGGGGCAAATGTAATAGCGGCAATATCGGCATAAATTGCATCAAATATGCTCAAATACTTATTCGAATAATAAATTTACACTAAATATTCACATTTAAATACAAAAAAATAAAGAACTTACGTTTTGTCAGAAGATGACTCTGGATTAAAATTTAGGATAGCAATTTGTATAACACGCGGCACGCACGTCACTTGAAAAATGAAATGTCATTCTTACATCTGTGAATCCAACAGATTAAAAAAGTTGTTGGAGTGTAGTGCAAGAAGTACTTTACGCGTATAAGAGATGGCAGCACTAGTTTCTTTTGTGTGTTAACAGTTTAAGTTATGGTATCACATTTGCCCCTTTCATGCATTTACCCCACCTGACCCTAGTAAATATGATGTTTGGTAAAAATTAGATGGATGCACCTAATGTTTAATTTGGTGTTACCGAATGCGATAAGGCATACTCTGTTTCTACAACTACGATATTAGTGTGTAATCATTAGTGTTATTTTTTTAATATAATGATCAAGTTTTTTTTTTAATGCAGCGTACTACAATTTTTTATTACAAAACATATTAAAGTTTTTTATTATTTCTTACTATAATCGTAGTTCTTATCATAGGGTCGTCGTGGATTCTCACGTATCAACATTTAAAAATAAAGGTGTTATGAATTAATCGGTTGCTTCAGTGGTTTTACAACGGAAAGTTGTACGGAAACTGCTTGGGAAGCGAACATATTTAAGAAATAAAATAGGGACTTACTCCAATGGAGGAAGTATTATCAAATTTTGTCTTGTAGTATAAGTAATGTAGTATAATAATATTAACTTTTAAGATTTCATCATGTTATAATTTCTATTCAATTTGTGGGTTCGAGATACACACTGTCCTCATTTACTGTTAATGACTGCCTCCGTGGTGCAGTGGTAGCGTAAGGAACTGATTTGCTGACTCAAACACAAACTCAAATATCCTTATTTCATAAAAAAAAAACAAATTAGTGGTAATCGTCTCTTGTTCTCTCAAGCAACAATCTCTGTTTTATCAAATATTTGAAGTCTCGGGTTCGATACCCGGGTCGGACCAAATATTTGTATGATCTGCACATATTTGTTTTGGAGTTCGAGTATTTTTTATGTATTATATGTATGTATTTACAATAAAGTTTTATAAATTTTCTATCAGTCAATCTACCTTTCATAGAACAAGCAAGCTCTGCTTAGTTTGAAACTAGATGGAGTTGCGTCAGTCGACCAAAATATTTTATTTATAATCATCATTATCATCAGCCTATAGCAGTCCACTGCTGTACATAGGCCTCTCGCAACCAGCTCCTGCCAGCCATCTTGCACAAATCAATCAGTATAATATTAAAATGATTTCACTTTAGACTTTTTATTACTTTTTGTTTTTGTTCTATAAAATTAAACATGTCAGGCCTGCTTCTGCTCGGGTAACAGATGGCCTCACCTGTCACCCCCAGGCCTGCGCTTATGGAGGACGGAGGTCGTTCTGCGACCTCTGGCGCCTGAGTCCGAGGCCCGTTCCCGAGCCTGGCGGGCCGGGAGAGTTCTAAACCTCTCCCGGTCCCGCTCCGCCATCTCCTTCGCAAGCATAACTTGCTCGCAGAAGGAGACGGCAGAGTTCCACGCACTCTCGCTCCGCATGATAGCCGCAATAAGGTTATCGAGCGAGAGAACTCCCACTTCGATAGCCGCCACGAGGTCTCGCCTCTGCTCCACCCACGCCGGGCATTCTGCCAGCGTGTAGAGCGCCGTGCCAACGGTCCGACCATCGCAGTGGTGGCTCTCAGGCGTTGGCTCCTTGCGGATTAGACCCCCACCTATACTGGGGCCCCATAAAGGGCCATGAACCGCACAACCCCTGAGTAGAGTCTCCTGCACGAGTCATCGGGTACAAGTGACCTCCTGTTGCAATATATTTGAATAATATACACGACTCTTAACCATTTAGTCCATAAAAGTACTAGCTGACTGGCTACTAGATACTGTTACTTTAATCGTGTAATTATTAATTGCGATTATATTTGCAAATTTTTATAATCGCGCTTGCTTTCCGCGTATTCAGTTTAAAAATCAATAAATTCAAAAATTGCATTTAACGCAGGCTTATTTCGAAAGTTTATTACTGCGTTAAAGAATACATCTATACCTATAAAGCTGCAGGGTTTATTTGTTTGTTTAGTTGAACGCTATTCATCAAGGAAGGCATATATAACATCATCAATGAAAAATCTTTCGGTAACGGTGAAAATTTATTATTAGAGTAGCTGACGACATCAGCGGGTCAACTTTTTCAATGATAAATCAACTTGAAATTGAGTTGCTCTACCTACTAGCTGTAAGAACAATGATTTGTAAGCATTGTTGCCGATGGAGGTTCCATCGATCTGACCAAGTGTTGTGTAATCTTCAGTGATTTTTTTGTAGGAGTCCTTTCTGCTGGGTCGCGTTACGAACCTGCATTGCTTAAGTTATAATCTTTTCTGGTAATGGCAGACTGGTCATCAGGATCATCTTATCTCTGGTTTCTAAATTTTATATTTCTTTGAATGTATATTCAAAGAAATATAAAATTTAGAAACCAGAGATTTTTTATTTAAAAGTTTTTTAAGATATTTATTTCTAAAAGAAATTTCTTGAATCACGTACTACACGTAATATCACTTTCGTAACCATGGAATCATTCATATGAATATCTTTATTATTAAGGATTATATCCATGACGGTGTTGTCGTTCATATTTGCATTTGTTTTCGTTTATATTTGAGTAGCGATCTAATTGTAGGATTGTACAATAAATCTAAGACTACATCAAAAGTATACTCGTATTTAAAGTTATAAACTTTGAGATTGCCGGTTTTAGCTGCGCAGTTACTCGACTGCGGGACAATCTATATCAGATTGTATTATAATACAAAAGTATATATTATGCGTAAGTCTAACAATACGTTTAATCGATACAATAATCACATACTAATTATCTTTTGTTGGGCAGCGTTAGGGAAGCTACGTCGAGTCTTCTCATCGTCGATCCCATAGTGCCTTAAGACGAAAGTCTTCAATGAGTGCGTCCTACCCGTCATGACACACGGAGCCGAAACGTGGACACTTACGGTACGGCTGGTCCACAAGTTCAAAGTCGCTCAACGTGCTATGGAAAGGGCTATGCTGGGGGCGTTTCTCTAAGGGATCGCATCAGGAATGAGGTGATCCGGATGATAATAATTACGCCAAAATAAATTACGTACAGTACATCATCATAGGCCTCTCTCAACATGAATAATAGCAATTGACCCTCTGCCTTACGCTTAAAATCTATCTTTAGGTCCTGGGTCCTCACTCAGCTGAAGGAACGTTTACCGTTTTTAAGTATAAGTATGCAACATGTGTGGTAGTAAACAAAAACAATCCGTGTCGTGACGGATCTGCGGTGACATTCCGTATTCTTAATACAGCATGTCACCACCCCTGTTCATCTCGTGGGTGTCGTAGGAGCTAGAAGATAACAACACTGAAAAAGAGAAGGGAAACTAGAAGCAAACCTTTTTTTACAACGGGGTTTGCGCCAGGGTGGTATGTCAGAATCGGGACGATTAAAACCACACGGTGTGCTACTCTGCGCTTGTAATAGGAAGGATCCGGGAACTGCTGTTATTTTTTGTTTATTTTCTTGCGATACCAATACCATCCGGATGTACTCTGAACGCGTATGCTGATGACGGCTTATTACTGGTGGAATCTGATACTAGGGCGGGGCTTGAGAGATTAGCCAATAGACGTTTGAACTTGATATCTCAATGGGGTGAACGTAATCGCTTAACTTTTGCACCCAACAAAACCTTCCAGCTACTTTTAAAAGGTAACCTCAAATCACCGCCGAGCATTAGATTTGACAATGTTGCTGTAAAAAATAAAACCGCAGTGTGTTATCTAGGGTTAGTTTTAGAAAGAAACTTTTCATTTATCGAACATATTAAAATAGTTAATGAAAAGTCTAAAAAGAGTTTCTGTGCATTGACAAGGATATCAACTGCGACATGGGGTCTATCATTTAATACATTAAAGATCATATACGGAGCTACTTATTTAGGTTCTATGTGCTATGGTGCACCTGTATGGGCCGATAGGGCGACCGTAGGCGCTGTCCGTCGCAAACTGTTACAAGGCCAACGACTTGCACTAATATTTTTGTGCAAGGCATATAGGACGGTTAGCACTGAGGCTTTGCCGGTGTTGGCGGGTGTGCTTCCGGTCGATCTCGAGGTGCAGAGACGTGCAGCCATGTACTATTCAAGACAAAACATGGAATGCGATTTCTTGGGTGCGCGGGATCGCTGTAAAATTACAAGATTGCTTCAACAGCAGTCCGATGTCTATAATGACCTCATAGACGAATGGCAGCAACGCTGGGACGAATCATCCAAGGGGCGCTATCTTTACCAATTTTTTCCATCTGTTCGCGAACGGTTGTCGAGGACATGGCTTGAGGTGGATCAATGTGTCGCTCAATTTCTTACGGGTCATGGTAACTTTAAGAGCAAGTTGTATTCATTTAAATTAGTCGAGTCACCATTGTGTCAATGCTCAACACCTAACTCTCATTATGAACAATCTGCTCATCATATCCGCTGGGAATGTAGTCTTTGGTATAATGAACGTAATATAATGAATAGCTTGCAGGTGACATCTGGGGCGGTATACCATGGGGATCTTGTGTCAACTAGGGTGAATTTCCGTGCGTTTAGGCGATTCTGCCATACATATTATAGAAATCAAATATAGCTCATGTAGGACCCGTAATATTTTGTGGCCGTGGTGCTTCCCTGTTTAAAAGGGTGTATGCCTATTTTACTTCATTTTGTCTCCCGCTTTGCTAAGGAGGGAAGTGGATTTACTGTATTTCCAACTCCTCCAATTTTCTTCTGATTAATTTCGTTGCGGGTTCGAAGACAGTTTAATTTCTTCCTGGGACTTCCCGAGTGTCTTAACTCGGTGTGTTCGTGGGTCACTGCTGTAGATCCTGGTGTACAGGAGTTACAGTGGTGGGCGTGTGGGTGGGATTGGTCCCAAAAAAAAAAAACTGCTGTTATTAAGACATCCGGACCCCTCCTAGTGCCGGCCCGCAATGGAGCGGCGACACTCAGGGCGGCATAAGATACTAGTAAGCGCACCTCCGTCGCCCTGTTCGTTGGCGGCGAATTGGGTCCGGTGGAGATGGATAATCTCTCCCCAGGCCCTCTTTTTCTGCAAGATGACGTCTTCGCAGAAGGATGCGACCGCGGTAAAACAACTCTCACTACCGAGCGCAAAGGCAACCGAGCTACACTTTAAATGGAGCGTATGACGGCCGGTAGCGAGAGATCTCCTCCCAAGACTGCAGTGAGGACCCGACGCTGCGACGCCCATGCCGGGCAAATTGCCAGCGTGTGACAGGCGGGACTCAATTCCCTCCTAGCAACCGAGTGCAGGTACTTCCCGAAGAAAGGGTCCCGTGCTGCCGCCCTGCCCGTGTGGAGCAACTCCACGAGCCATCGTGGCTCGACGAGTGTACATCTTCGGGCGGGCCGACTGTCGCTAATCGCCTTGAACTCAGTCGTCCGCCGATATACTTCGGCGACAACTTTTGCCTCCAAATCCGACGGCCAACAAGCACGCCGGCTCCGTCGACACAGTGCGGTAACCGCTTATGGCGTCCTTAAAAGTATGTACCTTAAGGGTTCTGAATGCAAAAGATGTCTTAATTAAGATTGGTCAATTATCAAAAAAAAACTTATATTAATATAATAAACTTTATTTTCCTCTTTAAATAATATTTACAAAAATAAGAATAACTTAAAATCTATATATATAAAAATGAAACCCGTTTTCCTTGGTCACGGCATCACGCGTGAATGGCTGGACCGATTTCACTAATTATTTTTTTGTTGTATTTGTTATTATTAGGAGAAGGTTCTTACAGAAAAAAATATTAAGAAAATCTCTCAGAAATATTGAAAAATATACATTTAATTTTGCATATTTAAAAAAACGCGCGTAACGAATGTCAATGGCTGCGTTCAGGTTTACTAAGTTCTGAGCAGGGCTGACTTTATCTACCAAAAAATTAATTTTAGACACACTTAAATAAATATGTCTTGCATTGTTTTATTATAGATAAAAAAAAATATAGTTACTTTAAGTTGTTGCTACAAGATATGCTAAGATCTGCTAAGAACTTAGTAAACTTGAACGCAGCCAATGTCATTCACGGCCATAGACTATATTGAAAGAGCATTGTTTGTTCGGAAACGTGGTTACTTAATTAAATTCGATCATCATTTGTTCGGAAACGTGGTTACTTAATTAAATTCTAATTAATTTTTGAAAATAACTCGCCACGGAATAGTTATGTATAGATAAATATTATTAAATGTTCCGATTTTATGACGTTACTGAGGTAAAATATAGGTAGGCGCACCTAAGTGTGGTCTGAGTATATGAGTTTGATTTCAGAACGCATTATACAAACTTCGCATAACCTATTTAGTAATCTGTGGTAGTACATTGGCTTTATAAAAAAAATCTGTGGTAATCTGTGATAGTTATGTCCAATAATTTATTTAAGTATTTAAAATAATATTTACAATCAATTAAACTATTTTAATAATCAGTAATCATAAAATAAGATAATTAGTATCACAAAGAATATTTTTTCCTTAGTTAAATTATATGCTTGAATTTTTTTTCGAACTCGAGTTAGAGAAAATTCAACTCGAGTAGTGGAATAAACACTATTATGAAAATATATATTTTGTTTTTTATTTAATTAAATTAGTAAGGTCCTTTTCAGGTATAGCGAGACCAGGAATTATGGATTCATTTTTATATGGAGGATATTATAGATTCCAGTTCAAATTGAATAGGTACTCATACCTAAGATAGGTCAGCTATACAAAATAAAGTAGTGCATCATTGCTACGCTAAGGCGGTACGAAGTTCGCCGGGTCAGCTAGTTTGTAATAATTTTACAAAAAAATTTACATCTAATCTACTTTAATTTAAACTAACAAATACTTTGTTTAGTTACTTTTTATGATTAACAATACTTATTAAATTAATTTCAAAAGAATCGGTAACAAATATTGTTATTGTAACATTCATTACTAACATTTAAAAAAATAATACTAATCTATTGGTAATATTATTGAACCGTATGTTAAAACAGTAGCTTTTATAATACTTTATTACTAAGTGGTAAAAGTTTTAGATGCTTGACTATTCAAATTGTAAATAAAGAATTTTAGAACAAAATCAAGAGTGGTGTTTATATTTATTGAAAATATGTTGTGTCATCTAAATATAATGCAACAGGATATAATAATGGACAGGGTTTTATTTATTGATAAAAGAGGCTTATCAGGCCGTAAAATTATTGAGCAGTTATGAATTTCACATGTAAGTATCACATATTTTACAAAATACATATAAAATGAAAAAAATTGACATGATATTCGTCCATTTTGACGTTGTAGTGACGTAATCGGTGTTATCGAGTTTAATCAATTTAAATTATTATTTGATCGAAATGAAAACATGTAGGTGTAGTCTATTTAAAGGTTTTATGACAGTGTTAATTTTCATGTGATTGTTTTATGAATTAGAGATAAATTAAAATGAGGTGATGTACCTCTTATCACTTTTTTATTACGAGAAATTCAGATTTATGGCGTTAAAAGTACACGATTTCGAATTGTTCAATTACATATATATTTTATGAGACTAATCCCTCCTACACGCTCACTACTGAAACTCCTGTACACCAGGATCAACAGTAGTGACCCACGAACACACCGAGTTATCAAACCCGAAACGTCCCAGGAAAAGTTAAACTGTCTTGGAACCCGGATAAAAAAGTTCTCTGTTAACAGCACATTCGATAAACATTTCGAAATGTTGTTTGCAATATTCTATTTGTCAAAGAGCATTTTGAATTGAAATTTAGAAAAAAAGAACAGTTCTCTATGAACAGAAAACTGGATAAATATTTTGAAATTTTGATTTCAACATGATATTTTTTGGCCAAGACTTTTAAGCTTTAAAGCAAGAAGTATTAATAGAAAAAATATATTTAAATATGGAATGTATAGATATCTTTTAAATAAAATAGTATATGATCGGTCACTGATGAATATCGTACTGTCACTGTTCCATTTCTAAACATACAAGTACGTTTCTGTAATTATACTAATAGCATTCTCAAAAACCAACTTTTTCAGATATTCTCGTAAAATAACTGATAAAGTGATCGACAAAAAGCGAATCTCACAAGTCGCAGTATCTCACGCATCGGAAACATAGGTATGCAAAATATAGTTGATTTTCCCAAGCTAAATAATGTTCTTAGAATGGAGTACAGAGATTATAGTCTTAAGTCTGTAGTAGTAGTATGTTTTGGAGCAGTATAATTACGGCACAGTTTATATGTTTATTTACCCATAGACTGCGAATATATGTTGTTATTTTTTTATTAGCAATAGGTCTATCTGACTGTGAGATTCTGAATGGCATAACTGATTTTATTACTCTTCTAAAACGTATTTGATTTGCTTTTAATCCGGTTTTCGCGCCATACTCTAAGTTATAGCCGCCAATGCTTCTCTATTAAAGTAAGCTTACTATATTCTGGTTAGCAGTCTAACGGTTACTGTAAACTGTATCTTTAGAAAAAAAAAAATCATACATTTAAGATAGTGCCCTGATTTCATCCACAATCTTTATTTACAAAATGACAGTTTGTAATTGATCGGATGATCAAAAAATGTGTTTGTATTAATGTAGCATTGGTGGATACCAATGCTACATTAATACAAACACATTTTTAAACCTAACATTTGTTTTAAATATATCACTATAAATAGAACTACTGGTATACATTTAATTACAATAGGGAGTCAAAATTAAAGGGCCCATTTTGATGACTCCCCAAAGAGACTACAAAGACAATTCAAAAATTATTAATGAATTACAAAATTTTGCCCGACCCTCGTGATTTCTGCCAACAGTAAGAGACTATAAGACTACTGAGTAACGATCCGAGAAGAATAAGAATACCACCCCATAGAGCAGCTGGCGGGGATACACAGAACCCTGATGGCTCAGGCAGGTCCTCTGGGAATACAACTCTCAATCCTTTTCCAATAATTGTCGAAGGTTCGTCAACTTGCGTCCTGTTTCCCAAGTGGATGATGTCTCGCCTCCTCCTCTTTCTTGGTTCAATGCTACCAGGGTTAGGACATACATCGCAGTCAGTTTTGCACAGCTCGACCTCGCATTGAATAATAAGGTCCATTTCATCAGGGAATTTGAAGGCGTTGAAGAAAGCATAAGCTATAACAGAAGCTCCCGTGTTTCCTGTATCTCTGGTCTTCTGGAAGGCACCGAAAATCTTTGGTTTGAGAACACATCCATTGCTGTCAGTTAGAGGAACTACGTTGCGACTATCAGAATCTCTAGCAATGCATTCTCGTACAAAGATATCAAATCCAGCATCACCAGTGACTGATACAACCAAGGTCATGGTCTCTCCTATCTTTATGAGTCCATTTGCTTCAGGAGCAAAAGGTCCCCTGCCAGTCTGAATATCTAATCTAGCCATGGCAGTGTCCCCGCTGAAATTGCTTGTTATCTGATTCAACATGCCTACGCTAAGCGAAGACACCAACTGCTTCTTTAAATTACCTTCCCACAAACACCTGACTCTCCTAATGTGATCCCAAACTTCTTGAATACCGGCTTCATTCTGGAGAACCAATACATTTTCTAAATAAGCCTGGCCTTCATTCTCGAAGTCACTGAAGAATCTCGTACCGCACGTGTTGAGGCTAACTGTAAAAGAATATTGAGCTTGTCCAGAGTTTTCCCTGACGTAAACACAATCGGGCTCGTTGTAATGATCTTGAGAGTAGATGATTCCGTTGTATACTTTGTTGAACTCAATGTTGATAGTCATCATGTCTTTGCCGCAGTCTACAGCGATCTCATGAATGTGAGGAGGATGACGATCCTCGTCATCACTACTGCTGCCACTTTCGGAACCGGCTGCGGATGAACTTGATGATGAGCTAGGACCTCCAGAGCTAGACTCTTGTTGATTATAATTGGACTGAGTAGTTAGTTCAGGTTGATTGGGTTGTTCGGGCTGGATAGGTTTGTCCGGTTGACTGGGTTGATAAGTAGGCTGATAAGTGGGTTGAGACGGCTGGAAGCTGGGTTGGGATGGTGAAGATGGTTGATAACCAGTTTCAGGTGGTGAAGATGGTTGATAGCCAGTTTCGGGCGGTGAAGACGGTTGGTAGCTTGGCTGGGATGGTTGATAGTCTGGGGAGGAAGGATAGGAAGGTTGGCTAGGTTCAAAGCCGGGAGTTGAAGGTTGATAGGCAGGCGGTGATGGTTGGTACGTGGGGTTTGGTGCAGGTCCATCAACGTATGGAGGCGATGGTTTGGTTCCAGCTGGTGGGTAGCCGGTTACGGGTGGCAGATAAGTGTTTGATGGTTCAAAAGGCCTTGGTTTTTCTGGTTTCCCTCCGAAGTACTGGCGAGCTGAAAATGTACAAATTAAAGAATGAGTGGGTGAATAAAACGTTGAAATATACAGAAAGATTCCAAGCTTGTGCTTGTGCTTTTGTGATCGGCTGAAAGAGTGTCTCGTGCATTCAAAGGTGTAATTATAATCCTACTAACATAATTCTTCATTTTCCCGTTTCTTATATAAAATGTATTCCTTAATTTTCTAGAATGCTTTTTTTCCAAATAATATTATAACCTGGTTAAATTTGATATAAAATTTCGGTGGACAATTTTTTTATTTAGATTTTGATCAGCACCTTTCCTGCTCTTCTGTTGGTATAATCCTTGTATCCAGTGCAGCAGGTTGCTCACCATTTCGTCGACTTCCGCCTGCTTATCCGGATGTAGAGGCTGATCAGCTGGAATGCATACTCTTTGTCAGCAACCAGTATTTGGTCACCGCCACCAATGCTAAGCTACACCTCTTTTACCAATGGGGTTACAAACCGAAATTGGAAGTTATAGAAATGTAAATAGAAATACAGACTGTATTTAAATTACATAAAGGTTGAGTTTTGAATGAACTGTTTTTATTCTTAATAATCTAGCATTGAAACCAACGTTTTCAAGTTATCGACATAAAGTTTTGATTAAAACTCATCCTGTATGAGAAGGAATAGGTTATACAGTTGTTGTTTTATTACTCTTCTTAAAGATGACTTTAGTTCTGTAGAATGATACAATAATTGTTAATTTTTATTTAGATGTGTTATTACATGAACACTCGATTATAGCCGCAAGCTCCTGGTATAAGTTTGTTTAATTTTCCACCATGGATTACCATCTTGATGACATTTCTAAAATATAACATATTGAGACCCAAATACCAATAGCACTGCGTGTATAGTAGCATATACTCTATATTTTTTCTACTCTATGAAACGAATTAGTAGTCTATGGAATTACACATTCCATAGACTTCTAATTCGCTTTTCATTTTGCATTAAATAAAATAAAAAGAAATTTCATAGTGTTCTAATTGGCTGACACCAACATCGAGATGCAAAGGAAACTACATTTAGAATCAAAGTATTAAATTATAACCTAAAAGGTAAAAGTCAAAATATTTTAAATAAAGTATCAGCATTCGAAATTTAAGAATATCACCTAAATACTCGTACTTCTACCAAATATCTTAATAATGTTGCCTGGTCTTTTATGACTACTAAATGCAAAGATTTTTTATTACGAGCTAACTAAACTCGCAGAAAAAGAAATAAATAAAATTATGTTAGTGTGTTACTTATTTTATAGTTCTAATATTATTAATCTCATAACTTATACTATATAAAATAAAGTTTAAAATTAAAAAGATAGGAAGATGCCAAAAGACAGGAAGATAAAGAGAGAACAATCACCACCTATACCAAATATCATATATTTAAAAAACACTTTATTTGTTTAAAAAAAAACAAATATAGTGTTTTTTTTAAACTATACGAAAATGAATAATGTTGCAAGTGTTTGCAAAGTAAGAAATAAAAAATACTTAGAAGTAATATAAGATACAAATTCAAATATTGAGTACATTTAGGTAATTTGCTATTTTATATAAGAAGAGTACATAATTAATGCTAAGATAAATAAAGAAGATATGTTCTAAAATACAGATAAAGAGAAAATACGTAGGCCTTACTCCATGTTGCACATAGCTTAAGATTAAATCAAATCAAATCAAGTCTTTTTTTTCCAACATTTATGTAGAAAATAAAAAAAAAAGTAAAAACGTGAATAAGAAAAACAATAGACTAAGAAAATTTTAATATACATTTAGAAGAGATAATTATAAACGCTTAACCTCATTTAACAACAAAGAAACAAAAGTATTTTTTAAAGGTTTAGACGTGTCTTTATTATTGTGTAAACACACGAAAGCATAGACAAAATTCTATCGAAAGTGTGAAGAATGTTATTACCTATTCAATCTTAGAACAGAACAACGGGGTATGAAAAATTGTCTAAATGCGTGTGAATAATAAATTTTATTGCTATTAATGAATTTATAAGCGAGTTCAAAAATATATTTTTTTATTCTGTAGGTATATTACACGATAACTTCGCTGTTTAATTTCTTTTTCGCTGCTTTTTTAATTGAATTAGGTATGTACCCATGAAGGATATATTTAAAGTTAAAACCTGTATTAAAGTATGATAAACCTACACAGTAGACATATGGCTCGTTAGTTACTAACGTAGATTGTAAATATTGTTGTATAAATGATTATTTATGGTGTGAGTGGAAATACACACGTGATGAGAAGAGATTATGGAAAAATACGTTACGGCGAGATTGTCCGATAGGATTGTTCTAATTTATTTGTTTTGCTTTCGCAACGTTATCAGTTCTTTTGTTTCAAAATGCTAAGAAATTATTTTGTGTGAATTAATGAACTAAAAGGGTACCAGAAATAATTTTATCGATTTAATGTATCTGTACAAAAAAAGTGTAGTAACAGACTTAAAGATTTGATTTGATTTTGTTTGTAACAGTAACTGGTTTCTTTCTGTCTCAGGCCAAAATTACCTTTTATTATTCTAAAATGCAGAAAACACGTTTTTGACTACTATTTTTGATGATAAAATTATTGTATTACTACTTGTACTGACGTACCGCAAAGTGACTTACAGAGATTTAAAGGTAAAACAAATATATTACTTTAAAACAATACTAGCGTGGTATAGGCCAAAACCTCCTTTCTAAGGAGAGGCCTATGTCCAGCAGTGGACTGTTATAGGCTTATGATATAGGATTATGATTGATGATGAAAACAATACTATCGTCTTGACAATAATAGTCATCACATACATTTTTAATTTTAATTACATAAGTGACTAATAGTGATTTAATATTTGCAAGCAGCATATTAAGTGTTTTAGAACGGTGTACATATAAGAAGAGGTAAGTTCTGAAAGTATAAAGCGTGAAGCTCTTAATGAGGATACCTTTGCTTGTAAATATTGGAGTTTATTTTTAATTTTTTTTTTGCAAATAATTGTTTATGATTTGTGTTCGAAATTCAAATATTTTTAAATATTATTATAGTGGTAGTAGTATTTCGAAATTTGAATTTAGAATAATGTTTATCGAGAGACGATAGCTGAACTCCATGACATTCCAATCAATAAAGCTGAAGCTTCAACAAAGTAGGTCAAACATTTCAGCTGAAACGAACTGTTATATAAAGCCTGCTTTCACAAGACCGTGTGGCCTAATGGATAAGGCGTCGGACTTCGGATCCGAAGATTGCAGGTTCAAGTCCTGTCACGGTCGACAAAGATCTTTCATTTATATTTTGAATAAATTTTCTCAACTATTTTTGTTATGACATTTGCTTACGAATTCTACAATCAAATTAAAAATAGATACCACGATAACTGCTTATTTATATTTCTATTTTTTAATATGCATAACCTCTTTTGGGCAATGAATAATTCGGAAGGGCTCAGGTTTTTTTTTTTAATTTTATGTTAACGATAATTTTTATAATGAAAACAAAAAGTCTTAATATGCACTAAAATCTATGTATTACTATTATTTTTATACTGTATTTAGCATTTAAAGAATGTCGAAGAAATTGTTGCAAGATTTAGAAGAAACTATGTGTAGATTCAGATATTATCTTTTAATCTACAAGCAAAGGCTAATGTGTAATTGTGATATTTTGTTAAAAGAACGATCTATCTATTTATCGATGGCGGACCTCTTTATATTCAAACCTAATAATATAAAAAAAAATGTTTTATAAAAAAATTGATCTTGATTTAAAATATTGTTGTGATGCATCATTTATTGCTACTTTCAAAAATGTATTCTCTTTTCGAAAAATTAAAAATAGAATATATGTAAATTCAAAATGGCCGCCCATAGGTCAAATTCACCATCGACAAATGAAAGGATAGATTGGCACATATAGGAGTGTTTACATTTTGTGTTGTGTACGTACCAGTCTTGCGTTTTCTTGGTTCTGTAAAATATATCATAATTATTTTATATGTTATGTATAATATAAAATACAGTACATCTAAACTAAATTTTAAGTTTAATGTGGAGAACTTAATCTTAAATACGATATAAGTTATGAAAAGATTGAAAATCTTCAAAAGATCTTCATATGGACTGTCAATTCGATTATTTTTTTAAGATTAGATTTTCCAAACAATAACAAATACATACAACCAGTAATTTTTATATATTTTACAATTTATACAGAACTTAAAAAGTAACTTACATAAAGTAAATTCCAGCATGCAACCTTTTTACATCTTAATTTAAAATTGGTTTTATTTACAAAAGAGATGTAGTTAGATTACTACGATTATTACGAGTATAATATGTACCAACCCATGTTGTAATTTACAAAATTTAATTTACAAAATATGTTTCAAATGTGCAAATGTAAATATTTTATGATTTACACTCTCACAAATGAAAAACATAGGTATTTTTCTTTTCACTCAGCATTTATTCCATCTTTAACGACATCTTATCCTTTACATAAACAATATGATAATAAAACGAATATATTTCCCAGTGGCTACCATACTTAATGCACACCTAGTCGCTATCATTAAGGTTTCATTCATCATTCATTAATTTCCTACGGTCATTAATCAACTCGTGACATGTCGATTCTTTATTCAAATCTAAAATACAACTGGCAACAAAAACGTTCCGTGTGACGCAACTTCAATTGAATTGTTTTGACGTCTCCACAATAATACCAAAAGTAAGAGTTGCCCAATTGTATACAGCGTGTTCTGAGCGTGTTAATTTTATATTTTTCTCTATAAATGAAGGCCTATACATTATACAGACGAAACCAATCTGCATTGCATTATATTAAAATTACATGTTTAATGTGCATCTATTTTGCTGAACTGTATAAAGGGTGTAAGGGACGTCGTAACGAATATTGAAATGATGTATTCAGACCATCATTCTGAGTTGAAAATCATTGGAATTTTCTGGCGGAAAATTAAACTTTTTATGCAATCAGTTGTCAAAGGTTAAGGTCATTCCCCGTAGGTATCGCACAAAAGTTATAACATCTTTTGTATTTCGTGCAAGCAGTCTATGCACACTAACACAAGTTGGAGGCCCCGCGCTTCGGCTGTTTGATTAATTACATTCCATTTTTTAACGTATGCGGTATTTTTTTATATTCTTTTCGGTAAAATGTTCTGTTAACTCATTGTGAAATCATTTTTCATCTCTATCAAAAATAGAAAATTATAAATAAAATGATGAATTTTCCGGCAGAAAATTCTAATAATTTTCGACTCAGAATCATGGTCTGACGTTACGACGTCCCTTACACCCTGTATGTACGTTGTAATATCACGATTAATTAGCGCACATTTACTGTACAGAGTGAGTTTAGACGTTGATAGTTTAAAACAGATTAATCCATAAAACAAATAAATTTTTATTAACGACAATGTTAATAAATCATTAAGTCGATTTTTTTAGATAAATTTTATTTAACAATTGGTGTTGGTAAATATTTTGATACTCACGTAAACGAGATGCAGCCTCAGGTTCTGCGTACACACAAGCAACCAGCGCGCTTAGCGCCAAAACAGCCCAAAGGCGCACCATCTGTAGTAGAAAAAAATACCTTTATCTCACAGGTATTGATCATAATTTGCTTTGACACTATTATAAAATAATAACTAACCAATGTTTTAGATTTTAAAGTATATACCTTCTTTATTTATGAAAGAATATTATGTTAATTTGTACCATAAAAATAAATATGCCGTGTTCTCTCAAAATATTAAAAAAAATGTTTTTCGCCATAAACATGGCAGACCTACATTTTAATCAAATATTCAAACAACTCAATCTCAAATTATCACTGTATAGATAAGTCTATTGTGTGATAAGCTGGGAATCGAACCTGCAGCACAATGAACAATTACCACAGTTGTAACGTGAGATGCTTATGCAACTTAGGCTGTGAGCTTACATCGGCGGAATGACATGCGGCGTTGTACGAAAAATTACGAATTCACCTAATATCCTACGTCATTTAAAGGGCCTCTTATGCGACCCTAAAACACGTTTATATAACACATGTATGTAAACTGTTATGAGCAGAAAAGATATGAACTATACAAATAATGCCAATTATCTGACTCGTTAAAAATAATTAAAACCAATATAAAGATACATTTTTGCAATCAATGCAGTAAATAAAGAATTTGACACCGCAAAGTTCAAAATTATCTACAAAGAAAACTGGTATTTTTTTATTTCCTTTTTTCGTTTTAAAAGGTCTACTAACAACCGAAATTAGTAGTACTCCCGTAAACCCCTCCCGCTAAACTAAATTGCTTGTGTTAGGAGTGGGTTTACGTCGATAGTGAACTGGTCAGGATTTGAACCACGACCTCTTGATCGCAAGTTCAATGCCTTCACCACTAGGCTACCGCCGCTTTTATAATAATGTTACAAGCCATCGCCTCTTTTTTTTTCTATGTTTTTTTTATCGACCTAGTTATAATATCTACAATACTGCGTGTTGATACCTTTTACTACGAGTAAAATACTCGTAGTAAGGTATTACTAAGACTACCAGACTACCTACTCAACTTAAACCATTTAAACCATTTATTTTTGCTACACAAGAAACATAAAACATACACGGATACAAGGCACATTACTAAAACACAAAATTAATTTTATAATACATTTGGCAAAATGAATTAAAATTTGTCAAAACTTTCTGACACATCCATACTATTAATATAAATGCTACAGGGTATCTGTGTATTACCTCTTCACGCTTAAATCGCTGAACCGATTTAGCTGAAATTTGGTATAGAGATAGTTCGAGTTCCGGGAAAGGATATAAGATAGTTTTTATTCCAGAAATCGTCCTTTAAGACTATTGTCATCCTTTTAAAGGACTATTCTCTGGGATATAAATGGTTGACTGGAAGAGTTAAATAAATAAAAACTACCCTATGCGCTTTCCCGGGACTCAGACGGTCTCTATACCAAGTTTCATCTTAATCGATTCAGTGGATTAAACGTAAAAAGGTAACAGACAGACAGACAAATTCACATTTATAATATTAGTATGTATCTCAAAACTTTATTGTGCCAAACTTAATACCTTTTTTATAGTATAAAGGGGCAAACAAGCTTGCGAGTCACCTAATGGTGACATGTCTGATATTAAAATTAGTAGTAGGTAATATGTGCGTCTTTGCTAAGCCCCTATCAAATTAAATGAATTAAATGCTTTTTGTTACAGTATTCTTGAGCTTACCGTTAGTTTGAATATTGAGGTTTTATTAACAGAAATAACGAGCTGTCACGGAACACTTCTTACACTTCCCCACTTATTGAGTTTAAAATATATTAAAATTATATTAAATTTAATTTGTGATTTTACTTTATGTTATATTTAAGAGAGGACTGGACTCCTCCGGAGAGAAGATATAACTGTTAACTAAACGTCAAAACCCTTGTATAAATATATCTAAGTTATGTTATTCATAAAATAGCAATGCCATTATCAATTTATAAATAATTCTTGATGTATTGTATTATTAAATGACATCACCTAAAAAATCCATCTTTGTGACCTCAGCGGTGACTGTTTAAAGGAATTTGACCATCGCATGTTTATAACAGGGTACATTTTTAAATAAAAGTACAATAAACGCGTTTACGGCGCTTACGACACCCTAGGGATGAATAGGGGTAGTGACACTCCGTGTTCTTAATCCGTCACTACACGGATTTTTAAATACTCATAACATATTTTAACGTAACACTTAGAAACTCACAAAGAAGAACTTAGAAAAACTATTTATGGTTTTGTAAACGGTCAAATATTTAATATAGAGACAAGAGAAAGCTATGAATGGAATATTATTGTCTATTGTTTATAAAGCCCCAATTGATAAGACATGCTAAAAGTATGTAATATACGAGCGTTCGGACCGCTTGCTTCCATCGACAACACTCTATCTAAAAAAAACAGTAGGTATTTTTCTGTATATGTTGAATTTTCATTTGTTTTTCAATTTATGTTTCATTAAATTTGTTTGATCATTAAATTTGGAAACTGTATCCCGCGTTTATGTCATATTGTCAATCAATTTCTCCGAGATAAAAAGCAGTAGTCTATGAGCTTTTCCTGTCTGTGTAATGTGTAAATTTATCTCCGTGCCAATTTTTATTTACATTCTTGTCATCCTTTTGAACGGAATTACAGCCTTTTTTTTTCCGTGCTCAAATCCCCTCGGATACCACCTGTCGGTGGCATGTCGGACTCGAACCGACTAAAACCGCACGCCGTCTCGGGTACTAATAGCCGGGGAACCAGGTATACTCTAGAAAGGAAGTCCCTGGTGCCCCGACATACCTCGGGTCATCTACAGACGAGTAGACGACCGCCCCCGTGTGGGAACCCCATGTTCCCTGTGCTCCCTGGAAGCGAGCGCGCTTCGCAACGCGCTCGCCGCCACCCCGGGCTGCTTCTGCTAGGGTGACAGATGGCCTCACCTGTCACCCCCAGGCCTGCGCTTATGGAGGACGGAGGTCGTTCTGCGGACGGAATTACAGCCTGTATGCAATTTATCAAACATGTAACACGTAATAAACTTCAAATTTGCCATTGAAACACTCTTTTACATATAAAAATAAAGGCTCATATTGTATAATATACAAATTAAGTAAAGTACAAGAATTAGCATATTCTCAAAAAATATTTTTACATATTTATAAACAACATTGTTTTCGTAATAACCATCAATTCATCAATGTGAATATGCCATAAATTTAAATTTATCATAAATAAATTATTAACCTTATTATTTAATACGTGAGGCCGTTTATTTACGTCTAGAATGAGTATTAACCTTGACACGTTAATATTTAAAGATTCAAAGATTGAAAACAAAAAATAAACAAACCACGAAATTAGCGTTACCTAATTGTGATGTTTATCAGAGAAAGTTTCATTGATACAATAGCCGCGATTCGGTAAAACGCCGCGATAGATCCGCTCACAAACCGCCCGTCTGCTCCCAATATTACATAAAGTACTAAGCACATAGTAAGAAACATCACACGGTTACTTTTTCTTATATAATTGAACCGTTGTCATAATATGGCGTTTGCACTCTTTGACCTCACCGTTTAGAAAGGAAGTAACATTTTTCTTTCAAGAGTTATGATCTCATTCAAGTTACTGGACGAAAGGTTAAAAAAGATTAAGATTGGTATATTGAGAATGCAATTGTTAAGTATTATTAACACCTAAACTTGGAACAAAAATAATTCAGATCATGAAAACATTTGGTCCGACCCGGGAATCGAACCCGAGACCTCAGCACAGCAGTTGCATACGCTGCCACTGTACCACCGAGGCAGCTGACTCCTCCTATCTGTTATTTAAAATGCATATTTAAATGTATTCAGTATCTATTATGCTTAGATAGCATATATTATTTATTTTAGTATTTATGCATTCTTGCTCAATGCACTTAAATTATTATTAGCACTTAGCTTATCTAACAGAGATGGTTAATAAACAGTCATACAACAAATTTGATACAATGAAATTATAAATCGTTCAAATATATGTATTATCTCCTTTATATATATAATTCTTCGGTACGTGTGTATATGACTGAACTCCTCCTAATCGGCTGAATCGATTATGATGAATTTTTTCGAGTGTGTGTTCATGTGGATTCGAGATTGACTTTGATTCACAATTCGGTCCATTACAAAAAGTTTTTTGTATTTTAATACGTGTGTATAGGATAACATCGGTCGGTCCGCTAATCTATCTATATACCTATATATAAGAAATTTCCACGTATATAGTCTCTCATCACGATATTTCTGGAACCATTCGAGCTAAAGACTTGAAATTTGGTAGGAATATTCTTTTCACCGAGTAGGGGTCAGCTAAGAACGGATTCTAAGAAATTAAAAAATAATAATAAGTAAATAATGTAAATAGCAAAGCAACGTTTGCAGGGTCAGCTAGTCTTATATATAAAATTCTCGTGTCACGGTGTTAGAAGTTGAACTCCTCCGAAACGGCTCGACCGATTTTCGTGAAATTTTGTGTGCATATCGGGTAGGTCTGAAAATCGGCCAACATCTATTTTTCATACCCCTTATTATTATTTTTGGACAAAAAAAAATTAAATAATGTCTATGGCAAAACAACGTTTGCCGGGTCAGCTAGTCTATCCATATAAAATTACATGCCCTTACTGACCGATTCATTAATAATAATAATAATAATCATTTATTTCAGGTATAAACCCATAGACAAAGACACAAAATCATAAAAATCATAAAAACATAAAATCATAACATCATAAAAATCGTAAAAATCATAAAATCATAACAGCATAAAAAACGTAAAAATCATAAAAATCATAAAAATCATAAAATCATAACATCATAAAAATCGTAAAAATCATAAAATCATAGCATAAAAATCGTAAAAATCATAAAAATCATAAAAATCATAAAATCATAATATCATAAAAATCGTAAAAATCATAAAATCATAGCAGCATAAAAAACGTAAAAATCATAAAAATCATAAAATCATAACG